TATCCGATCGAAATTAAAATGATAAAGTAACGTTTTCTTTTGTCGATATTTGAACTCAATTTTTTTTTATTACTACCACAAAATTTCAAATGTTATAATTAACAAAAAAAAACTAAATTATATTATATCTATTTATTGGCTCTTGCATGTGGAACTTAAGTTAGAGTTGAAATCTATATGTTTTTTAATATTCGTATTGATTTTCATAGTCACTATAGATTATTATATGTTCTTTAAGGAAAATGTGGGCATCGTAAACGTAGTCGAGAGCGACTATTATGGAAAAAATGTAAACAATAATATCGTTTCTTTTACTGATTGGAATATTATTACATTAGACTAGTTCAGACACGTCCTCACGAGTTGGCTGGTTTCCGATACTATTTTAAATAATTGAAAAATATAAAAGATGAATAAAGATATTAGACAAAGAATATTTATTTTTTCCTTTTTTCAAAAAGAATGGCGAAAGAATGTCGACATAAAATGTACGGACCTATGTAGCACACAAGGTGACTCCTCTCTTAGCTCTAGAAAAATAATGGTAATGAAACTTAAACATATCAAGTCAACCTCTAAATATGTCGATTTTATGACTCATTTTTTTCATCTTCATATGCTTACATCTTTTTATTTGATTCTTAATGATCTAATACATATATTCATTCACGTAACTGTCTTGACGCAGTTATGTATACACATCATCTTTCTGGACACAGATTATCCTGTCATTTTCATTTAATATAGTTAAATTTTTTGTCAACGAACAATATAAGTATATAATCAGTCTATTAGACTTTTTACAAATAAAATTGATGTATAAATGATCAAATTACATAATATAATTTCTCATATTATTTTTTTTTATGTCGAAACATATATTTCTGGACACAGATCAGCTTTGTTATTTTATTTGTAGTTGTAGTTTTCTATATTTATCAAATTTTCTTAACATTATTTTATAGATTAATTAATTAATTATTTTGAGATTACTAAGTATTTGTAATCTCACAATCTACATGGATACATCCTAGTTGTTAAATGATACATCTTCTTATAAAAAGAAATGTGATGAGACTAATTAAGTTTTCCTAAAAGATAGTCCATAAATGTTGCATTAATATATATGCTATATCTTTTTTCTTTTTTCTTTTTTGATCGAATATGCTCTATCCTTCTTTCTTATTTTTTCACACCAAAACGTTATATGTATTTTTATAATTATAATATTTTACCCTTTTAGCACATTTATAAATTTTAAATATAATACTTTTAAGTAAGTATATGTACTCTTCTAATCCTAATTATAGCAGTGTGGATAAATTTCAAATTGTTCCAAAACGTATTTGAGGATACAACATTTAATGGTGTACTTTTTTAGTTTCATTTTGAGTTTCAAATTATATTCGAGGAGACTAACATTTTGAGTTTCACACTTTTTGAGTTTCATTTTGATTCAAATTTGATTATACTATAGTTCCAAATTAACCTTAATATCTCATTTTTTATCAATTAGAGAAACATAATTTTTCTTTATCTTTCTATTGTAGTTTTTTTCACTCAGAGATGATAGAGATCACATTTCAGTATTCAAAGTTGTAGTCTAAAAGACAAAAAGTCATGATATTACTATAAGAAATGAATCCTAATATTAAAAAGCTTCTTCTTTCTTCGGGCTTTTATGTCGTCTAGTGATATGAGTTGCACTGGTGAAGGTAACATATACATATTCTTTTTCTAATAAGTAAATTAGGGTTTTTCAATTTTGCCGTAAAGTTTTTGCTTCTGTATTTGTTTCTTAAAGTTTCTCTGTAACTCAGCGCTGGTTTAAAGAAAAAAACAAAACATGGGTTCTACTTTGGTTTGTAATTTAATTTCATGATGTTCTTTACTTTTTATTATGTTCCACTATATCTTATATATTTTCATAATATACTGATAAATATTACTATATTAGGAACATTTGTGTTTATTAATTATACTACTATTAAAGAGTATAATTATAAATAAAATTTAAATCAAGACTTATCAAACCCAGTCGGACCGTATTGACATGCGACCCAAAAGCTTACCCAGTTTGCTCAATGATAATTTTTTTGTTTGATGCTAAATGATGTTTAAGGTTTTGTATCATTTTAATTTTATGTTTTTCTTACATTAAAATATAATTTTATCTACCTAAAAATAATTTGACCAATGATATAGAAGAATATAAACAGTCAAAAATCTATATATACATTTTTGGAGTACACTTACCAAATAAATCTTAGAGTTGTTAAATATTTACAAAGAATGCCATTGGTATTTAATTTTTTAATTCGAAAATTAGCATTAAATATTTGAATTAAAGATTTAACATTTAACAAACTTGCCAAAATCTCTCTTTAATAACTAAAACGAGATGATTAGCTACTAACCAATAATTCCCCAAATTTCTCCATATTAACTCCATGATATTTTTCCAAATCTCTCTTAATTACTACCTAATTAGCATTTGCGATAATCCCTCTACTCCAATCAAATCGAGTTTCAATAATACGAGTTCCTTTAATGCTTACATCACCATGAAATCGAAACAACATCTATATTCTCTATAAAAAATGAAATATATAATCGTAGAAAATAAGAAAATGGAAACTAATAACAACAAGCAAAGTGAATTTATGGCATCTATATATACATTTTTGGATCACAATTAGCAAATAAATCATGAAGTTGAGAAGTATTTACAATGACATGCCATTAGCATTAATTATTTAGATTTGTTTTATTTAAGTAAAGATTTTTAACTGAAATTCATTTCTCATATATTTAGCAAAAGTCTCTACAAAATCTTTCCTTATCTATTTAAGTAAAGATTTTGAAATCAAATATGTTCTCAACAATTTACCAAAAATCTCTACACAATCTTTTTAAAAATCTCGACTTAGTTAACTTCTGATTTTTATCTGCAAAAAAAAAATTAATTGTAACGAGTGATGTAAAAATCGGGAATGTTGATACTATAATTTCTTCTACTTCTTTTTTTTCATATAATGAAAATTATTTTTAGGGATATTTTCTTAAAACCTCTAAACAAACAAAGAGTTTCAAAAGATAGCTTCTCTTTTGGCGGGTCGACCCGCAAATCCGCAACTCTCTACGGGCTTATCCGCATGAACCTGCGACCAGTAGTGGATAAAAATATTATTCAAAAAAAATAACAAATGATATTTAATTTTACGGGACGGGGTTATATGGTGCAACGGGTTTAGATCAGTATTAATATTAAACAATATTAAACAATATACGATGGATGAAATCCTAGAATTAAAAATCAAAATTTAATTATAAAATCAGAAACACTAAACAAAATAAACAATATTAACAAAACAAATACAACTTAAAATTTTGCAAAATAATTTTTTAGTTGTAAAAAAATCGACCCGCGGTGTACCGCGGGGTAAAATCTAGATTTGGAAGTTTAATGAAGAAAAATCTTTTTTTAAAAATAATAGCTCCGCGGTGTACCGCAAGAAAAATTCTTCTCTTAAACTGAGGCAAAAAGAAGAAGAAAGCCAAATGTCGTTTAAGTGTATATAACTATATATAGATATACCATTTAAACCTAAAACACAATTAATATACTCAAAACTATTAATATAGATATATGGATGGTACATTTATAAAATAGGTCGAAATATTATATTATACTCTCTATTAATAAACAAAACTAATTATATTTAGATTTTTTTTAAAAAAATTATAGCACCGCGGTGTACCGCGGGTTCAAATCTAGTAAAATTTACATTTAAAATTGAAAACATCAAATAAAACAAAACAATTTCTCTTAAACATCAATTATTATGAAACAGAAGTATTGTAAAACCAATATAGTCATATAGATACAAGTTTAGGACTCTAGGTTAGCCATTAATTAGACTATTAAAGTGTACTAGTCAACAAAAAAACAGATTTAATCCCTCTAGAATGAGATTTTTAAAAATATTGCGGTTGCAACGAACAGTATAATATTTAGTGAGAATCACTCTAGATAATAATAAAGATGGTGTAATTAATAAAAAAAGTAATAAAAGTAAAATTTGCCATATTAAAATAAAAAGGGTGATGAATTAAACATCATGGAACACATATGTTTTGTATGTAACATATTTTATTTTTCTCTTGACATCTAATACTCAAATGTATTTCTATTTTTGCTATATATATAAATGTGTGGTCTACTGTTTTGGAGTTTTACATTATCATCTAAAGAGTTAGACAGTTAATAATTTGTATAGTTGTATACAACAGTATGCAATGAAACATTTTAAAGGTACAACAATAAAATTATGCGTTAATTATGTCCACATAGTTTGAATCGGAATGCAAAATTTTCAAGTGAAAACCATTGGCCTGACAAGCCCGGTCCTAATATGTGAAGAAAGTTGCTTAACTACCCTCACGTAGTAATTTCATCAACTTTTCTTTACCCAGATCGGCAATTGTTTTTAATCATTTATTAACCCAGAGTTTAATGATTCATAAAGGTAGTTTTATGTATGTGAGAAGCTAAACCTCAAATCTCTATTTTCTACTAATTGCTTTTTCGTAAAGTTGTGTAGCAACGATATATATACTGAAATTTGAGTGGACATTTGGTGTAGTATTCGAGTGGAGAAAGTGATTTTCGGAGTAGTCACCAAACATATAATTGAAGCAATCCGCTATCCTTTGCTTTCTTTGCCTTTCACTCGCTTTCTTGGTCTCAATAGCATTAATGGTTGGCTAATGGAATTGGAGATGCCACCAAATAACAATGGAGCTTTGGAGATAGCTCAAAATGTCCTTTGTAATTTATTCATACGTGGCTACAGGGTTTGAAAATAAAAATATGAATGCAGATCGATGGACTGCAAAATAAAAATGTGAATTAAAAAAAAAAAACTAAAGAACCGACTTTAGACCAATTTGTATTTCAATTTTTTGAAGAAAACGAGTTTGAGTTGGAGCATGGAAGATGAATGAATACAAGGATGTTTACTTTATGGCACACACGAATCATTGACTTATCCTGTTTAGACAATTGCATAGTTACTTCATAACACTTTGCCTGTCATAAAAAGAAGAAAAAAAAATACATTCGTTTTCAAAAATCGACAAAGATGAGACCAACTCTTCAAAGACAACCACGCACGTTCGTTTGTTCAACACGCGCACACACACATCACACACACTCTCTCTCTCTTCTAAACATTGATATTATATGTTAAGTAGATGCATTTTACTGGTCAAGAGAGAGTGAGAGAGGTTAAGGGAGTTTAGTAGAAGTGGCCATAAGTAGAGCTGACTGCAAGCCGAATTTGTTCTTACTTGTTGTCTTTAGCATCCGCCATAACCTTTTGCTCTTTCTCTTCTTCCTTTATTTCTTCCTCGTCGTAGAATTTTTCATCTTCATCCTCGTCACTACCCATGTCATGGTCGAAGTATTCTTCATAGAACTGGTCGTCTGTGTCATCATCCTGACCGTTCTCCAGCCTCTCTCCAGACTTTTGTCTCATTAACCTTTCTTGGATACTGTCTACGATTGCAGTTCCCTGTTAACATTTAACGCATTTGTCAAGTTTAATCAATGTTCTACAGAACATAGTCATAAATATTAAAGTATGTGACTTCAAGATTCAACTTACCATCTTATGGCAACCCTCTTCAAATATTTCAAGGAATCCAGCAACCCACCGATCTGCATTCTCTACCCACTCGTTGCGCAGCATTTTTACAGTTTGGATCTGGAAAAACCGGATTTAGCAATCAACAGATGAAGAAGCATTATAAGAAACTTCTACAAGATCAGCTTTTTCAGTTAAGATGGATATCACATATGACCATAGTCTCATCAGAGATCATATTACTAGCTAAAGCATGAGACTGCATGGTTTCAAGAGCAGCGGATACACGAAATCAGGCTGCTACTACAGGAATGAAATTATACAACAACATTATATCAACTGGTACAGTGGCACTACTACAGCGGATTAACAAGCATCACTTCTTAATGCAATTCTATAATCCAATAATCACAACAAGAAGACACAAAATAAAAGCAAGAGATCCAAATGCTTTCTGCCTAGAGTCTACTAACCAAACAGAGTATAAAAGTCCTAAGAGAACTGAACGAGGTTCAAAGTAAGGACAGATTGAACTGCAAAACGTAACACAGTAAGAGTGGTTTCCAAATAGTCGCTGAATAGTCATAGGGTACAAGTTCAAGGGGAGATGCGAATAGGCAGAGACAAGATCTAAAATTTAGTTTACTCTCCTTGTAACTTATGATGCACAGCTTATTTGATTGAATGCAATACAGTCGAAACGATGAATTGTGATGAACTAATGATCAATTAAGCAAAATGAAGTTGAGAGAAGACATGCCTTTTCTCCCACTCTTTCTTGTTGTTCTTTGACCCTCTCCTGGAGTTTCTTTAGCCTCATATTAACTCTAAGTCTCTTTTCCTGTAGCATATCGACAAACCCAAAGTTAATTCTTCCAAGTGTAAAATTTTGAAAAACGACAAAACTGAAGAGATAAGAAAATGATGTCATGCCTTGACAAAGCTAACTCCAAGATCTTCCCTTGAGTATCCTCTATCCAAGTTACGCATGACATACTGGTTGTAATCTTTCACAATTCTCATTATTATATCCGAGGTCGATATTCCTTCAGTTCGCATTGTTTCCTTAAACCTCCCAACTTTCTTAACCTGCAAAGGATACTCAGTTAAAACAGAAATATGAAAGTGTCGAAAGCAGGAGTATGAAATTCATCCGACTCACAAATTCATAGACATCCTTTCCAGCTCCGCTCGAATCAGCATAGCTGTGCATGAAATTAATACAAAGAAGGTTACTGTAGTACTAAAATCATTAGTATGGAAAGAGCATAACTAACGACAAGCAGGTAGTAAAAGGTAAAAACAACAAAACTAAGTTTCCCCCATTTAAAAAAACTACATCAAAACTAGCACAAGAGATACATGTTCTTACGGAAGAGAATCGTGGGCTACATAGTCAATATGGTGCTTGTCAAGAAACTCTTGGTTGACCACCCATGGTGCATCAGGGATGACTTCATCCACCCACCTATATGAAAACGAAAAAATTTTAGGAGTGTCCTAAAATTCCATTCAATCCCACTTCCATGGCTTCTACTAACAAATACAACAGAACATAGGAGAAGACAATTACTTGCAATGTCGAAGTGACTCATATCGCTCTTCTGCAGTCATGACAGTCCTTCCCTTGTACTTATGGGTAGTATCATCGTTGCAACATCCAACAAGAAGGTAAGTGTTTGGAAACCTGTTCGGCGATTAAGAAACGGTAAAAACATAGCAGCACCATAAGAACACAGAAACCAGAAGTCAATTTCTCCCAAAATTCACTTTACCTCCTCAAAATTGAAAATAAAAATCGAAACATTATCAAGAACATGTATCCAGAAACAGCATCAGCTATTGCAAATTCAAACATTTAGAAAGGGATTCACTAAAATCATACGCTATAAGGCCTTGCAGGCTTGCACATCACAAATTCTGGCAGTAATTTCAATCAACACAGACCAATCAAGCACCGAGACTATCTAATAAGGAAGATATTTCTCTCAACCTAAACAAAAACTGTACAACTTATAATGAACCAGACTCAACAGATCACAGACAAATGACACTGCGACGGCGAAAATTGAGCACGCGACGGCGAAAAAAGTCGAATTAGAGATAAAAATCAGGAAAATGATATCTCAGAGATAAGAAATACTAACGATTTCTTGGCTTGTTCGAGAGATCGAGCGTGACCAAAGTGGAAAAGATCGTAGATCCCATCGGCGTAGACGCGGACAGGACGATCAGTTGGAGGGGAACTCTGGACCGCCGTAGAGCCGGAGCCTGCAGCGGCGGTGGAAAGGCCGTCGTCAGTGCGATCTCCGGTAACGTTGCTCATATTCTCCGATGAAGAAGCCGAAATCACCCGCCTTATAGAGAAAATAAACGGAAAACTACAAAAGGTGCTAGTCGCTTCCCTCTTCTCCTACTATTTTATTTTTTTTGTGACGAAGAATATCCTCTAGGGAAAACTGATTATACTATTTTTATTTATTTTTGTTTTCAGGCATTTTAATTTTATTTTTTCACTGAAATAAAAAAGAAAAATGATACGTCGGTTATTTTAAAATGACAAAAAAAAAAGTAATGAAATTTAAATTATTTAATCTAATATCTTTGATGGTGGCGGATCGGAATAAAGTCGGACTAGTCCGCAAAAAATCGTTTAGTTTTCTTTAAAAATTTGTCTTCACTTGTTAGATACTTAGAAATGGTCAGCAATACAAAAACTTGTTTACATTTTCTCCATTTAGCAAAAATTATTGTCTTAAAAGTTGTTCTTTGGTTTATACTATAAATGAATGTTTTGGATTTTTTAATGCAAAGTTATAGACAGTATAATAGTTATCTGAATCTCATTGTTGAGTTATACAACAGAGTGACTTCTTTCTCTCTTAATATTTGTTTCCAGATTAACCAATCAGTCGATAGTGTATATTATTACGCTCTTCGGCGTGGCACAGTGACCAAGTCCAAGGTTGTCTCTCAATGGCCCTCAAGGTTAACGAAGGTTGTCTATAACTACAAGTCTACAAGAAGAATAATAAGAAAATGTGAATACTTAATCATATATTATGATTCCGGTATAAATATAATCAAATCCAATCAGAGTAAGAGTTTACCTCAAAGCCAATTCTACACTTTAGACCTTTCATATTTCTGTACATAAAAACATTCCATTATTTTAATGAAATGAAAAACAAATATAGCAACTCTTGAGCTTGATCTGTTAATTAGATAAGCGGTGATCACTCGGATGGCTTGGGCCAGATCCCTGAAACTGTGAGGACTCCATTGTCTGCGCAAACAAACACCAGAAAACGTGCAACGGTTATACAGAGGGCTGATTACATTTTCTACTGTAAACAGAGGAATTTTTCGCAGTCTCGGATCAATCTTGAATCAAACTGACCCGAGAAGGAAGAAGTTGAGATTGTCAAAAGAAAACAATTTGAGGTATTGGGTTCGTTTTTTTTCTTCTTTCTTTTGTGGCAGTAGAGTGTTTTTACTAACGTCACAAGAGTATGGGTAATGGGTACATACCATGCCGTGCATAGTTTCTTCGATGTCACAGCTGCCACGGATAGCGCTTCCCCTGAACCCCGCCTGTCCCTGAAACTAGACAATCCACAAAACGAAATAGATCTTTCTTTCTTAAAACAACTTGACTCGGGAGGAGGAGATTGATAAGATATATATATCTCCCGAAAAATACTTAGATAAAATAGAACATAAACTCACAGCTCCTTGCATCCTTGGTTGTGTCTCATATTGACTCATTCGTCCATGAATTAAATGCATGTTTCCCTAGATCACCCAGAATATGAAATATCAGTTTCGTGCTTTATCTTAACTACCAAAAACCTCATCACACTATGTATTGGTGAGGGATATGGATTTGCATGTAAGGTTATAACAAAAGCTTTGAAACTAAAATAGAGATAGATAAAGCATAATTCACCATGGCTTGTATAGTTGGCGGATGTCCGTAGTAACCATCCTGGATGGAAGAAACCGATGAGAACTACCAGAATAACAAGAACAGTGTTTAGGTTTCAATGAAACAGTAATATTAAACTTGTAAATGACAGAGTTACAAAAGTGCACTCACTCCTTGAATAGTTTGTTGTGTTGAATAATAGACCCCAAGAGTTGTTGCACGGGAGCCTAGTTCGGGCTCTTCCATATTTGCTTGAGGAATGTAACAATTCTCAAACGTAGGAGCTCTGGAGCTAACTTGTTCCTGCACATAAAAAATAAGCCTAATTGCATCAGGGTGCATGGACTAACTTCATGTATTTTGATGAAAATAGTTTGCCATGAATAACATTGCTAAGAAAATGGAGATTTCAGATGTAATAGCATGGCAAAATGCCAAAATCTGATTACTAACGGTTTCTTGGCGAAGTTCTTCTGACCTGTTTGTTGCATCCTCTGCCCGACAGTATACCTTTAAACACAAGATAATTCATCAGATCTTTCCGCCAGGGCTAGCAAACTACAAATAATCTCAAAAGGTTGAAGAATCTAAAACTCACCTTTCTTTTCTTCTGAATTTTCTTTTTCTTGGACAATTTTGATGCACAGTCCAACACACCTTCGTTTTCTAAGCCAATAGATCCACCTGTCATTAACTTGTCTGGCTCTGAAGGAAACTTGGGAGAATTATCCATACTAGCACAATGCTTCCTGGTTTCCCGCAACAACTTTAAAGCAGTCTTGTAGGATTCATCTGATAAAGATGCAACTACTCCCAGCTTGACAAAGCGCCTACATAGATAATCAAAACGTGCCATTCGGATATGTATAGTGGCACATGTATCGTTTTTGTCTTCTTTGTTGTTACCTTTCTTTGACCAGCGCTTCAATATATACTGAGATGGAATGCAGGAAACATCAGAGCTTTGAAGTACGAGTATCGCATGTTTGCATAGGAATCCCTGGTACTCAAATAAATGACAAGAGCAACACGCATCCAACAACTCTTTGTTCAAAACAATGAAGAAATTTTGCCGTTCCTCAAAATCTTCAATGCGGAATATTGCGGTTGTCCCATCTTCTCTTTCTTTTTGAAGTTGACAAGAAACAACCCCCGGTACCTCAGCTTGGAACTTCTTAAAAGCCGCGTCTGTGTAGATCAAGGAAAGTTGTTTCTCGAAAGCCAAAGAAGACCTCAGTGTAGGCTGTTTTCTCTGAGATTCAAGGTCATCTTTCGCTTCCACATCACATCGATACTGCAAAAACTTCATGTAAAGTTCAAAGAAGTCCTTAAACGTAGCCTCTGAGTTCATATACTTGTCGAAATGAGAGGCGATACTGCTAGACCTTTCAGGTCCAGACAGTCCAGCTAAACAAATTCCATGAAAATAATGTGGAACCCATTTTTTACGATCTCTAAACAACAACTGAACCCACTCATTCTCGTGAAGTTCAAATTTACTAGTCATATTTGACCACCTCCTTTCAAATTGTTCATCTGTCCAAGAGCTATGTACGCAATTTTTGAAACTTTCCATAAAACCATCATCTTGACTCACAAATGGATTCAGCATCTCAGGAATTTTACTCAGCACACTCCACAAACAAAAAATATGACGAGCATCTGGAAAGGCTTCAACAACAATGTCACCTAGAAGCTTATCCTGATTTGTTATCATCACTCCAGGACCTTGACCACCGACTACTTTAAGCCACGTTCTAAATAGCCAAGAATATGTTGACTCACTCTCTTCTCCAATCAAAGCACATCCAAGGAGCACGTAATGTCGGTGATGACTGACCCCAATAAAAGGAGCAAATGGGATTCTGAATCCGTTCCTAACATAAAATGTGTCGAACAGAACAACATCAGAAAAGCTGCAATAGTCATGCTTAGCCTTCGCATCAAGCCAAAAGACATTTCTAACATGTTTGTCACTGTCGAAATCAACTGCATAGAAAAAACCAGGCTGCTTATCCTGCATGTCCATAAAATGCTCGAGCAATAACTTTAAGTCTTCCTCTTCTAAAGCCAATTGAAGACCTTTCTTTTGATTTGCTAGCACACCAACAGGCTTGTTCTTTCCCCTTATGCTAACATAAAAATCATCAGGACATATCTCATGGTTATGTTCTTTTACGAAATTATATATAACCCATTTCTCGTCTTCCTTCCTCTTCATATGCAAACCAGCTTTGCAACCCGTCTTTGGACATGAACGTGGGTTTATAACTGCGCTTTTCTCGCGCTTGGTTCCAAATCTTGAACACGCTATTTTGACATCAATAAACTTCCCCGATCTTTTAGAACGACGGCTGGCTTTGATTGTGATCCCAAATCCCACTGATCGAGCATATTCTCGGTAGAAATAGTAGGCAGCTTCCTTTGACTCAAACTCCATACCATTTCTGAGCTCACTAACAGTTGCAAAATGCTCTAAACTGCGAGAAACGTTCCCACTAGTACTTGCCTCACAAAACACATCCACATTACCACTTCTTGTTAAAAGATCTATTTCGATATCTTCAACATCCATGTCATCCAAAAACTATGAGGTCCATCAACACCTACATGTGGTCCATTTTTTTCAAGTTCTATTCATGTGAAGGAAGTCCACACCATAACACAATTACAAATTTAACATACTTTCCACAAATTCTAACATTTGAAGGTTTGCTAATTTCAGAAATCCAGCAATTGAATAGTACGAATTAGTGCATCACATGATCATGGATAATCTGAGAAAGCACAGTAAATACTCTTCAATATCGGACCAGGATTCAATTCAACTTCATAGTTCAATCTGTGAAAAATCAGAAACCCAAAATGCAAAGGTTCGAAATCAAACCTCTCGAGTTCAGAATTTCTCCGTCGTCTTTGTCTTTAGTTCCCTAATTGAGCTCTCCTGGTACAGAGGTGCAAAAGCGAGTAGCATCGGGCTTCGCGAGGACTAAAAGAATCTGAGAAACTCAGATTCAGAAGTCGGAAACGGATATCCGTCGGAAACTGAACCGGGTATTTTTTCTTTCCTTGCAACGAAAGAGGGAGGTTTCAAAATGAGCACCGGAGAGAATTTAGAATTTATTGTAATAGCAAATCGACCCTTATATTTTTGTATTCATTTGGGAAAAGATCCACGTTTGAGAAAATTTGAAAGACGCCCACTTTGGAAAAGAATTGAATCTTAAATCTTTTTTTTTTTTTTTTTGAGAAAGATTGAACCGGTCCTGTTTATTTTTCTCTTTTCTCTACATATTTTTTTTTTTGTCGTCTAGATTTATTATTAATTGCAAATTATGAGAACTGTTACATAGACGATTCTACAACTGACAATTCCTTCCGACCCTTATTGGATCTACGACAGACTACACTTCCTTCTTCATAATCTTGATGAATACCTTCAATGATCCACGACCTGGCGACACTTCTTTCTCTGCGTAGAATCCTGGCGAACGACTATAATTGTACATCGCTGGAGATCTCATGCACACTTGCCTCTATTAATCTGCAAATTTTTTTAATAAATCGCAATATCTAGGACTCGAACCTCAAACCTCTTGATGTAGAAGCATTAATCAACCATTGGTCAACCAATGGACCAAGGGGCTTCCACTTTCTCTACATATTATTCAACAAAACTGTATTAAAATAAATATTTAATAAGAATTTATATATTATGTTTTTTTTTTTGGTTTTAATTTATATATTTATATATTATGTTGTTTAGTAAAACTTTGAATAATGTTATTGCGACTTCAAATATAAAAGTCTTTTGCGATTTTCTTAGTACGATGAAAAGTCTGGAAGAGCATTGGCTACGTTTCTTTGAACTTTGACCCAATGTGGATGTTTCGATAGCCGCCAATTTGGCTAACTTGACCACTTTTGAATTTTAAATACTTCCTTAATTAAGCTCATATATAAACAACAAAGTTATACAGTTAACATGTTCCATTTCATACTGTTTTACGGAACCATAATAATTTATGTTCATGAAACTTTGTAAAACCCATTTATAGCCACCGAACATAATGGTGTCTATTGGTCGAACCAATCAAAATTTCTAAAATTGTCGATACTAATTGTGTGGATAATTCAACTTTTCATTTTGTAGTCTTGCTGAAAAATTGTAGTGACGATTTCAGGACGGTGACGATTCATTTTCAATTGCACAACTTGGACATGAAACAAATCTTTAAATAGAAAATAATCAAACATGACGTGGATTTTGATACCATAATATAACAATGAAATAAAGAAAGTGAAAGCGTCTCTATCAATATTAGGGGAAAACAAATAGGAAATAAAAGCTGAGGGGTCAAATCTAAAAGAAAGAAATAAATATAAGATTTCATGGTGAGGACGGTTTGGTCGGTCGGTGGCTCCATTGGTGTCGTGGGCCTTCTTACTCGCTTTTTTCGACCAGCCAGCCGTTCAGCCACCGCCTCTCTTTTTGTTCTTCTTCTGTTCTTCCCAAATGACTAATCTGCCCTTTTATTCAATCTGAGTCAACTCCTTTCAAAAGATTATTGAATATCATAATTTCATAAAATATAGATGTTTTCACGTTTTTAATTGAGTAATCTATTATATTCTTACTGAGTTAAAGCATATTTTTTTAGTAAGAAATCACGTTAATCCATGAATATTTTTTTTGTTAATCCATGATTTCAGTTTCATTTTAGGCATAAATTACTGTTTAGATGTACTTATGATCTATGAAAAAAAAAAAAAAAAAACAAAAGGGCAAAATGGGAAATAAAAACAAAACTGCGACGGTCTTCTCGTCCGCCAGATTTGGCTTTCAAAAAATACGAAACGGCCCCACACTCACTCTCCGCTTTATAAACCCTAAAAGATTCGTTTCTTCTCTCTCACACACCCAATTTGCATTTCTTCTTTTCGTCATCATCATCTACTCTTTTCCTCTCTTTCTGCATTTTTCCCAGCTGCGAGAAATTTCCAAACAAGGAAGCAAAAAAAAAAAAACAGAGTAGCTTCTCAGATTCATCAGCTCCAACTTGGTAAGCACTTTCAAATTCATGGTCTGTTTCTATTATTTGATATTCTTAACGTTTTTTGGGATTTATAATCGACCACAAATCGATTCAGATCCTTCAATTTCATTTTCAAAAAATTGGGTACCGCTTCGTCTTCTTCTTAGTTACTGAATCCTATAATTTGTTTGATTTTGAAATTAATCGATCCATGTTTTAGACATTAGATCTCTGAAAATCGAAATCGTTTGCGATATCTGCAGATTCGTCAGATGAATCAAATCATTTTCTAGTACTGTAGTGTTTAATCTCAGGATCTCTTGTCTTTTGAACGGATTTAGAAGGTTTTCTAGCTTATTTTTTGGTGGTTCTACAGAACACTGAACGCTGAAATTTTAGTTTGAACTCTTTATTTAAGGTGAAGAAATCTTTGAATTGTGGTTACTAATCTGAATTTCTTAGAACATTTAGTGGTAGGTTTTGGAAAAAAAAAAGTAGTATGCTAATCATTGTCTTTTTCTGATTACCCGATTATACTATTAATTAATTAGGAACATGATTTGGGTGTTAAGCCTGCAACTTTTGAACAAACAAGAGAAAAAGCTTACTTGCAAGTTGCAACCTTACCAATATTTGTATGTCTTTTTCATAAAGGCAACGATTAGACTTAGACCAAATAGGTTGACAAATCAAGAAAAACTTATCCAAGTTTAGAAAAATTCCTCTTTGATCGAATATTCTTGGGTTTTATACAGTAAGATAGAATATGAAATTTGGCTGGATATTGGATCAAGCGAAAATGATGTTTGTGATCCATCATCGGCAACCATTTCTTATATGGTTACTCTTTACCTTAAGATGGGGTTTCTTTGCTTTTTTGGTGTCTTAACCAAAATGTTTTGTGGAATTTTTGAATTTAAAATAAAATAAAATAATATATGGTCTTTGTTTTCTTATAACAAAACCACTGGCCCATGAGTCATCGCTGCATCTGGTCGGCGTACCTTATGATTCTTTTCATTCTCTATAATATAGTCATTAGTTTAGTTTAATATATGTATAATAAAAATTACTGTTATTAGTTTAATAAAATTTGCTTTCTAATAATTAATTTGGATACTTTGTTTTTGGCACAATGAAATTGAAAACCTCTTTTCTTTATTTTTCTTATACAAAAAGAAAGAAACTTTGATGATGATGGTTTTGGTGGGCACTTTACACCTTACCTCTCTTTAGTTTGTTTGGTAGGAATTTATTTATATAATAAGTGTGATTTATTCATTTGTATCATGGTAGAGAGTGTTGGCTATTGAAACAGATTCAAACTCTGATAACATCACATGCTAGCACCCCTAATACCTATTGATCTTTGTCTTCTCCTGATTGTTTTGGATTCTTTAGCTTTTCTGATCTAAACATATGTCATTTTCTTAAAAAAAACTAAACGAAATTAGAAATCTTTATTGAATTGGTATATCAAATAGTTGTAATGAGAGATGATGTATACCTGTTGACTGTCACATTAAATATCTTATCTTGTTTGTTTTGTATCTCTTACTTGCAAGCTACTGTTTTCTTTTTTGATGTAAAGAAGGAACTTTAAATCTGATATAAGTAGGGTATATCATCTTCGAATTTCTTCTCAAGCGATATCTTATTTTTCTTTTCTCTTCTGCAGAATTTAAAGTAGCCATAACTGCTTGATCATAGGATGGAAGAAGCTCAAGTAACGAGTTCCGAGGTCCCTGTAGTGAAAGGTGATACTGATGACCTTAAGACAGTTGATGTTTCCGTCAAGGTAATGATCATTTGGTGTTCAGTTTCGCAAAATTATCTGTTTGCTCATGGCTATAAGAAATTCTTTCTGTAAATTGATGCGAGTCTTGCAAAGATTTTACTTGTTTTATCGTATTGAATCTCCCGTCTGTCTGTCAAGCTTCTTAATAGTAACGCCAAAGATGTAATTATTGTCTTGATCTATTGCAGGCCGTGAATGGAGAAGTGCCAAAGGAGGAGAAAGAAGAGGAAGATGGAGAATTCATAAAAGTTGAAAAGGAAGCTTTTGATGCCAAGGATGATGCGGAGAAAGCAGATCATGTTCCTGTTGAAGAGCAAAAGGAAGTTATTGAAAGAAGCTCGAGTGGTTCACAAAGAGAACTACATGAATCGCAAGAAAAGGCTAAAGAACTAGAGCTCGAATTGGAAAGAGTAGCAGGGGAACTAAAACGGTATGAATCTGAGAATACCCACTTGAAGGATGAGCTTTTGTCTGCGAAAGAGACATTAGAAGAAACGGAAAAGAAGCATGGAGAGCTTGAAGTTGTCCAAAAGAAGCAGCAAGATAAAATTGTTGAAGGCGAAGAGAGACACAGCTCACAGCTAAAGTCCTTGGAATATGCTTTGCAGTCCCATGATGCGAAAGATAAGGAACTAACTGAAGTTAAGGAAGCTTTTGATGCGTTGGGCATAGAACTCGAGAGCTCACGAAAGAAGTTGATAGAGTTGGAGGAGGGGATAAAGCGTTCAGCTGAAGAGGCTCAGAAATTTGAAGAGCTGCACAAGCAAAGCGCTTCTCATGCTGACTCTGAGACGCAGAAGGCTTTGGAATTTGCGGAGCTGCTTGAATCGACAAAAGCTAGTGCCAAGGAAATGGAGGAAAAAATGGCGTCCCTGCAACAAGAAATCAAGGAGCTGAATGAGAAGATTTCTGAAAACGAAAAGGTTGAAGCGGCCTTAAAGAGTAGTGCGGGGGAATTAGCTGCAGTGCAAGAGGAATTGGCACTTTCAAAATCTCGTTTGTTGGAGACGGAACAAAAAGTGTCTTCCACAGAAGCCCTCATTGATGAACTGACTCAGGAACTTGAGCAGAAGAAAGCTTCCGAATCTCGGTTCAAAGAAGAGTTATCCGTTCTCCGAGATTTGGATGCTCAGACCAAAAATCTTCAGGCTAAACTTTCTGAACAGGAAAGTATTAGTGCAAAGCTTGCAGAAGAACTCAGGGAGAAGAAACTGCTGGAATCCTTATCGAAAGACCAAGAAGAGAAGCTGAGAACTGCAATGGAGAAGTTGGCTGAAGTTTTGAAAGAAAAAGAAGAGCTTGAAGCAAATGTAGCAGAAGTTACGAGTAATGCATCAAAAGTAAAAGAGGTCTGCAATGAACTAGAAGAGAAACTGAAGACCTCAGATGAGAATTTCTCCAAAACCGATGCTCTTCTGTCTCAAGCTTTGTCAAACAACTCCGAACTTGAACAGAAACTGAAATCGCTGGAGGAGCTTCATACTGAAGCTGGATCTGTAGCAACAGCTACTACCCAGAAGAATCTTGAGCTAGAGGATGTTGTTCGGTCCTCTAGTCAAGCAGCAGAAGAAGCCAAATCACAGATAAAAGAGCTGGAGACAAAGTTCACTGCAGCTGAACAAAAGAACGCGGAGCTTGAGCAGCAACTGAATTTATTGCAGCTGAAAAGCAGTGATGCAGAACGGGAGTTGAAGGAACTCTCCGAGAAAGCATCTGAACTAAAAACTGCTATTGAAGTTGCCGAAGAAGAGAAAAAACAGGCAACCACTGAGATGCAGGAATACAAACAAAAAGCATCAGAATTGGAATTGTCTCTGACCCAATCATCGGCCAGAAATTCAGAGCTTGAAGAAGATTTGAGAATTGCTTTGCAGAAGGGTGCAGAGCATGAAGACCGTGCTAATACGACTCACCAGCGCAGTATTGAACTAGAAGGTCTTTGTCAAACATCACAGTCAAAACATGAAGACGCAGAAGGAAGATTAAAAGACTTAGAGCTTCTACTCCAGACAGAAAAATACAGAATTCAGGAACTTGAGGAGCAGGTCAGCTCGCTAGAAAAGAAGCATGGGGAAACTGAAGCAGATTCCAAAGGTTACTTGGGTCAGGTGGCTGAGCTTCAGTCCACACTAGAGGTATTTCAAGTGAAAAGTTCGAGCCTCGAAGCTGCTTTAAACATTGCAACTGAGAATGAGAAAGAACTGACAGAAAATCTGAACGCTGTGATGGGTGAGAAAAAGAAATTAGAAGAAACAGTGGATGAGTACAGCGTGAAGATCAGTGAGTCTGAGAATCTGTTAGAAAGTATCAGGAATGAATTGAATGTCACACAAGGAAAGTTGGAGAGTATTGAAAATGATCTGAAAGCTGCTGGCTTACGGGAAAGTGAAGTAATGGAGAAACTGAAGTCTGCCGAAGAAAGTCTTGAGCAGAAAGGAAGAGAAATAGATGAAGCTACTACGAAACGCATGGAGCTTGAAGCTTTGCATCAGTCTTTAAGTATAGACTCAGAGCATAGACTTCAAAAGGCAATGGAGGATTTCACTAGCAGAGATTCAGAGGCCAGTTCTTTGACTGAGAAATTAAAGGACTTGGAAGGCAGAATAAAATCATATGAAGAGCAGTTGGCTGAATCATCTGACAAATCTTCTTCTTTAAAAGAAGAACTTGAACAGACTTCGGGAAGACTCGCAGCTGCAGAATCCGTTAATGAGAAACTCAAACAAGAGTTTGATCAGGCACAAGAAAAATCCTTGCAGTCATTATCGGAGAATGAACTACTAGCAGAGACAAACAACCAGCTCAAGATCAAAATTCAAGAGTTTGAGGGGTTAATAGGTTCTGGTTCTGTCGAGAAGGAAACTGCACTGAAAAAGTTGGAAGAGGCAATTGAAAGGTTTAATCAGAAAGAAATAGAATCTAATGACTTGGTTGAAAAGTTAAAAACACATGAAAACCAAATCGAAGAGTACAAAAAGCTGGCTCATGAAGCATCAGGAGTTGCGGAAACTAGAAAAGTTGAGCTTGAAGACGCTCTATCAAAATTGAAGAATCTTGAATCTACTATTGAAGAGCTCGGGGCCAAATGCCAGGGGCTTGAGAAAGAAAGTGGGGATCTGGCCGAGGTGAATTTGAAGTTGAACCAGGAACTAGCCAATCATGGATCAGAGGCCAACGATTTGCAGACAAAGCTCTCTGCCTTGGAGGCTGAGAATGAGCAAACAGCCAATGAGCTTCAGGCTTCAAAGACAACCATAGAAGATCTAACAAAGCAGCTTATCGCTGAAGGGGAGAAATTACAGTCACAGGTAACACCCTGAATCTAAACATGTGTTAAGTACCATCTACAATGCCACAGTTTTGTTGTCTATATATAATCTTGAAAATATGACACCACTTTGTGCTGCAGATTTCTTCCCACGCTGAGGAGAACAACCAAGTCAATGCGATGTTTCAGAGTACCAAGGATGAGCTCCAATCAGTTATTGCCAAGCTTGAAGAACAACTAACCATAGAGAGCTCTAAAGCTGATACTCTGGTGTCCGAGATTGAGAAGCTCAGGGCAGTGGCTGCTGAAAAGTCCGTTCTGGAATCACATTTTGAAGAACTTGAAAAAACTTTGTCAGAGGTCAAAGCTCAGTTGAAAGAAAATGTAGGCATTCTTCTCAGACAGGGGAAATTATCAATATCATAATTAAGGATCCATAGGTAAAAATATTGGTTTACTAATTGATTATGTTTTTACAGGTGGAAAATGCAGCTACTGCATCTGTAAAAGTGGCGGAACTGACCACAAAACTGCAGGAACACGAACATATTGCTGGTGAACGAGATGTGCTCAATGAGCAAGTGCTTCAGCTTCAGAAAGAGCTTCAAGCGGCTCAGAGTTCCATTGATGAACAGGTTAATGATCTTTCTTTTGTTTCACTTTTATTTGTCTCAGATATAACATTTTTCAGGTTTCTTAAGAACTCTTTAGTTTGATGATTTTTTAAAAAAAAGACAATCTATCTTCCCTCATTATGTTACTAAGCTCTCAAAACGTTTCCATGGAAATAGAAACAAGCACATTCCCAGAAGCATTCAGAGCTGGAGTCTGCATTAAAGCAATCACAAGAAGAGATTGAAGCTAAGAAAAAGGCGGTCACTGAATTTGAATCAATGGTCAAAGATCTTGAACAGAAAGTGCAGCTTGCAGATGCTAAAGCTAAGGTTAGTCATAATATCTCTGAGTCAAAACTTTGATTGATTGATAACATACATACATGCAATGCATATATTATACCATCCAGCGGGACAAAATGACATAAGATCCATAAAATTAGGGACAGAAACCTTGCATTATGGTTAAACATACCCGTTTTTCAAAATCTCAAAAGCATACTTGCTTATAATCGAAAACCAAACTTGCAGGAAACGGAGGCATCGAATGTAGGTGTTAAATCTCGAGACATTGACTTATCCTTTTCTTCTCCAACGAAACGTAAGAGCAAGAAGAAGTCAGAAGCATCTCCTTCTTCTTCTTCGTCTTCGGGAAATGTTACTACTGCTACTACTCAAACAGCCTCAACGTCACATCTCATGACAGTGCAGATCGTCACTGGAGTGGCTCTGGTTTCTATTATCATCGGTATAATTCTTGGGAAAAAGTATTAGTCCGTCTTCTCAAGTGTGGCTTGATGTTCATATGTGAAGTGAAGATCTATCCTTCTTCATTTGTTTTTGGGGGTTTTTGAATTTTGATAGCAGAACTTATGAAGCTTTGCGTGAATATGCTTCTCTCTGCTTATATTTGCTTGTGGTTGATTTTTGTTTTTATTGGGTCTGGGGGATTTTGTTGTACCAGCCCTTGCTTGTAGGTCAAGCAATTGTCCAGATATTGTATTAAGTTAAATGAAACGTGAAATTAATTTGATAATTATCCAACTAAACCGGTTGTTTAGCAATAAAACCCGGTTCAATCGACCCGCATTTCCCTATATAAACCCAACTCCAGTGATCGTCTCTTTCATCAACTTCTCATTTCTCACTTTCGCATTGAACTTTATTAACAGTACTGAGATCAAGATGGCGACGCTAAACATGGCGGAAACCCTAGAAACCCTAATCGCTAGCTCCCAAGAAGCTGATTACTCCTACGATCCCGAAGAAGATGACATTGATCTCTCCCTCCTTCGTCTGAACAGCTTCGGAAACTCCTCTGATCGCCGCCGTGCGAATTCCTCTCCTCCGCAATTCAAATCGTACGGATCTTTCGGCTCCTCTTCAACCACCGCAACAACCAGCCCCGTGAAACGTCCATCGCCGGAATCGAAGGAAGGTGACGAGCCGAGACGCAAGAAACTGTTTATTCCACGACCTGAGGAAGAAGAAGACACAAGTCTCATGGGATATTCAAAGATTCCACTTCCTTTGGTTGATTTCAATCCGACGCAAATCCGTTCTCCTCTTTACAAGCGATCTTTATCGGATACATTTGCTTCGCCCGTTGGATCTACATTCGGGTCGGGTTATACCAGAAACAGCGTCGGTCAAGAAACATCACCGCCTTCGGGTAATGTCCCTTCTCTCCCACCACGTCCACCAATGTTCCGGAGGTCCGTCTCCGATCTTTCGCCGGCACCTTCCTCCAAGTCTCTTCTTGGATCTTCTCGCTCCAATGCAACTCCTGAAGGTGATCTTGTGACTCCAGAAAGCTCTGATGCCAATAAGGTTAGAATGAAAGATTCTATAGCCTTTTACCATGTTCTGTTTGAGAAATTCTTTGATTTGAGAACGAAGTTGATGAAAAGAAAGGCTTGTTGTTATCACTGATCGTACTCAAGTAAAGAAATGTTCTGTGTAAGCTAACTCAAGATGGTGATAATGGCAGATGCTGTATATTATCAAGGATGGAGTTCGTGAATTGGATCAATGGTGTAACAAGCTTCTTAAGTACGGTGAAGCAGTCTCCTCTGGCTCTGTGAAACAAGACGACAGTCCTAAGGTTACAATCTCAGGGAATGGAATCTTTCTGATGAAATGCATTTGGGACAATCATATTGGTCTATCAAACATGTCCTTCATTGAGTTGCTCACTTACTTGTCTCTTATCTAATCTGTGAATAAAGTCATGTTCTTGAGCACAATGATTGTTGCGGTTACTTGTCTCTTATTATCTCTGAATTAAAGTCCTGTTTTTAAGCACAATGATTGTTGCTCACTTACTTGTCTCTTATAATCTTCTGAATCCCAGTCTAGTTTTTGAGAACAATGATTGTTGGTTGCGGTGCAGGCAGAAGATGAGGTAGTACAAGAGGAGCAACCGAAAGAGTGCAAAGAAGGGGTGAAGGTGAACAGACTCGGTGAGGCCTTTGTGGTTGAGATCAACTGTCCATGTGGAAGAAACTACCAAACTCTCTTCTCAGGCCGTGACTGCTACTACAAGCTCTTGTAGAATGGTGACTGCTACTTTTTGCAGTTGTTGGACATTCACACTCTTTGACCATCATCACCATTAGTTGAAGGATCTATCATGCTGCATATTCATCACAAAGATTTTCTGTAGATAAGACATACACACACTGTTTCATGCTTGTATAGATACTAGCGAGCTATACACATTGTTCCATTGTCATATACTCTTGTGGATTCGCTTACTTGGAATACTCTTAAACATGTTTCATTCGTTAAAATGGAAGTTTGATTTCTTGTGTGTTTGTTATATCACTTTTAGGACTTGGACCGCTTGAACCATTACCCGGTCCGGGTTTTATCTAGATGAGTATGTTTGTAACCCAAAATCAAAATTGACAAGCCTAAAATGAGAAAAGAAAAAATCCAATTTTTAAAACCCTAGTGTTTTCTTTGAAAGCCTAGTGTGTTAATAAATATTAGGCCGTTTTTGGGCTTCAGAGGATAGAAATACACTAAACAGAGTACCTAAACGACGTCGTTAGAAAGTAGCATCCAAAATCTCTATCCCATGGCACTCTTATATCTCAATCTATAAACCTTAAAGATAATCCATGGTGAATCCTGAAGGAGAAGCTGTGTCGACCAAAGTCGTCTTTTTATCTTTTCCAATTTTCCCACCAGAAAGAAAGTTTCTCTCTGGCGCAAAGTAAGTTTTTTTCTCAAAATTCTTATGTGTTGCCTTCAACCTGTTCGACGATATTACCCAATGAAGAATTTCGATGTTTCTCCACATTTCTTCTACTTTGTAGACTAATAACTCACATTTTTACATAACCAATTTCTAAAGTTTTGTTCTTTGACTTTGTTTCGTATATATTCTAAATTGGCAGCAACAGAAATTGGTCAAAGGTTTTCAATTTTGTCTTCTCTTTTACTGGTTATTTTTTATTCCTCGATAATGTAATAAAGCTTTTAGATGCTTAGAGTAAGTGTAGACAGCTCAGGTTTTAATTCTTGAATATTTTCTTCGAGTCTCTTGCAGATGAATTGGACTGAGAATTAATTCTTCAACAGCTTGAGAGCGAAGTTATGCTACGTTTAACTTGTTTTACTCCTTGTTTTTCTCGGGCGTGTTGTCCTTTATTTGCAATGATGCTCAAAGTCCCATCTGTTCATATCCACCATCCTAGATTTTCTCCATTTCGTTCCTACCATACTTCCTTACTTGTGAAAGGCACCCGGGATAGACGCCTTATTCTTGTTGAGCGTAGCAGACATCTATGCACCATGCCTCTCGCTGCTGCTAAACAATCAGCAGCTTCTCCTTCTGAAAATTTATCGAGGAAAGCGAAGAAGAAAGCTATTCAACAGTCTCCTGAAGCATTGCTGAAACAAAAGCTAGATATGTGCTCTAAGAAAGGTGATGTCTTGGAAGCTCTTCGCTTGTATGATGAGGCAAGACGCAATGGCGTGCAGCTCAGCCAGTACCATTATAATGTATTGCTTTATGTATGCTCGTTGGCTGAGGCAGCAACGGAGTCTTCTCCTAATCCAGGGCTTAGTAGGGGTTTTGATATATTTAAGCAGATGATTGTTGACAAAGTTGTTCCCAATGAAGCTACATTTACAAACGGGGCTAGACTCGCAGTTGCAAAGGATGACCCGGAAATGGCTTTCGATATGGTGAAACAGATGAAAGCCTTTGGAATTCAACCAAGGTTGAGATCATATGGACCAGCCCTTTTTGGTTTCTGTAGAAAGGGTGATGCAGGCAAAGCTTATGAAGTCGATGCGCATATGGTTGAATCAGAGGTAGTCCCTGAAGAGCCTGAGCTTGCTGCCCTTTTGAAAGTTAGTATGGATACAAAGAACGCAGACAAGGTCTATGAGATGTTGCAGCGATTGAGAGATTTGGTGAGACAGGTTTCTAAATCGACTTTTGATACGATTGAGGAGTGGTTTAAATCTGAAGCAGCTGCAAAAGCTGGAGTTAAGAAATGGGATGTGAAGAAAATAAGGGATGCGGTTGAGAGTGGTGGTGGTGGGTGGCATGGACAAGGATGGCTTGGGACTGGCAAATGGAATGTGAAAAGAACAGAGATGGATGAGAATGGTGTGTGTAAATGTTGCAAAGAGAAGCTTGTTTGTATTGATATCAATCCGGTTGAGACAGAAACCTTTGCTGCATCATTGACCCGATTGGCCTGTGAAAGAGAAGTCAAAGCTAATTTTAATCAGTTTCAGGTAACAATTATTGTCTTGAGGATTGTAGTAAAACTATCTAAAAGCAACACTGAAATTTTTTGTGTTTGTTTGCTCGCAGGAATGGCTAGAAAGACATGGACCGTTTGATGCAGTCATTGATGGAGCCAACATGGGTTTAGTCAACCAGCGCAGTTTCAGCTTTTTCCAGGTGATTTTTACTCATTTTTATTCTAATGCCAATCTCAAGAATCATTGCTTGATTACTTTAACTAATGCGATTCTTTATCTCTCGCCACTAGCTTAACAATACAGTCCAAAGATGCCAACAAATAAGCCCGTCGAAAAGGTTACCGCTTGTGATCCTGCATAAGAGTCGTGTAAATGGAGGTCCAGCTACTTACCCTAAAAACAGAGCCTTGCTAGAGAAATGGAAAAATGCCGGTGCTCTCTATGCTACTCCTCCTGGCTCAAATGATGATTGGTATTCGCTTAATTCATTAGTCTGTGGATTGCATTGACAATGAATGATCCAAAAAGACAACCATTTCTTATGTAAAATCAAATTGTTCCAGGTATTGGCTTTACGCTGCAGTAACTTACAAGTGTTTATTGGTGACAAACGATGAGATGAGAGACCACCTCTTCCAATTACTAGGAAATAGTTTCTTCCCAAGGTGGAAAGAGAAGCATCAGGTACATATAATATAAGAGTCTATGTAATGTATGCATGAATGTTTATTTAAGCTTTTGATTGATAGTGGTTTCAATGTTGCAGGTTCGGATCTCTGTATCAAGAGAAGATGGGCTCACACTTCATATGCCACCTCCATACTCCATTGTTATACAGGTCAACAACACTCAGATCTCTAATTCCATCTCAATGCTTTCGTCTGCATTTTGCATTAAGTGATGATTGATTGATAATGCAGGAGTCTGAAGATGGAACATGGCATGTCCCAATGAGCGTAGAAGATGATCTCCAAACATCAAGGCAATGGTTATGCGCAAAAAGATCCAAAACACCTTGAAATTTTTCATTCTCTTGTTGTATCATCTTACATTGATTCTTCATTTTTATATAGATTTGTGTTTCAACCAGAAGATAAGCAAAAAATATGTCTCGAAATTGAATAAATATTACTATCAATTACTGATTCAGAAAACAATTCAAGAAAAATTGAAACTTTAACCAACAAAATTGAAACTTTAAACTAAATTAATTTGTAGAATTCAAAACCTAAGCTTGGTGAAGAACCATCTGTTCTTACCAGTCTTAAACCTCTCTTCAAACTTCGACTTCGCTTCCTTAAGAGCCGTCACTTTCTTATCCTTGGACGAGATCGCGTCGCCGGAGACAACGTTCTTGAGATCCAAATCCAAGGTGTAGCGCGTAGGCATCACGTGCTGGTAATTGACGAACTTGAAGAAACATTTCACGCGCGATTTCTTGGCCGTCTTCTTCGCCGAATCCTTGCGGATGACTTTGCTTGGGTACTTCTTCAATCCGGCGACGAGGCAGTGACCGTAGTGTTTCTCATTGGTACCATCGTCGAAGGATTTCACGATCACTGCCTTTTTACCGGCGTATCGTCCTTGTAGGAGGATCACAGCTTTCCCTGGCTTCATACATTTCACCATTGTCGTCGCTCTCTTGGATTTTTGGGGTTAGCGTTTCTAGGGTTTATCGGGAGGTATTTATACGCATCTATTTATTCAGTATTTTCAATCTAACCCCAATAGTTTTGATATTTTATAACTTTGGCCTAATAGTTTTATTATATTGATTTCGAGTCCAGGTTGACTAATCGGTAATAAAGTCAAAATTGTAAATCTAGCATGGTTTAGATGTCGAAGAGAAAAAGAAAAGAAAAACGATTTATTAATAAGATTGTAAAAGTACACTATACAAAAGAGAGAGTGATATAGAAATGAATTAACAAATACAAGTACCACATGAACTAATTAATCCCAAAATATGATTTTGATAAAGTAAAATACAATGATAATCAAAAACCATCGATGTCCTCAGAAGCATGCGTCGAGGACACAACAACAACACATGGCCGCAAGACTGCATTCAAAAATTGAATAAGAAAACATTAATCCAACATACAACAACCGATCCGGTTAGATAGTTAACCAAGCGTGCGTGCGTGTCTGGTTATATACTAGAAAACAAGAAAAAGAAAGAAGACTAACCAGCCTTTTAAGAATCCATCACCAGCCCCGGCTTAGATAGGTAGGGCGGAAGTGCGACGGCCCGGGGCTTTTTTTTTTTATAAAAAATTTTACATATAAAAAAGCCCAAATATTTTTTTTAAATATTATTAATATGAGAATTATATATTGGCTCATCTTCGAAATGATTATATGATTTCTCTTTGAAAAAGTTAAGAGGAAAATAGTATATATGTAGAGAGAGTTGTATGAAATTTTTAAAAATTAAGTAAATTTTCTCTTTGTATATAATAATAGGCCAAAATTTTTTTTTTTGCCTTAAGGCTCTCAAATATATTGAGCCGGGGCTGTCCATCACCCTTGGACTTTGTCTCCACCGGAGCCACCGTGGCATGACTTGTGTCGTTCGTTGGGTAACCTAGCGGTGGTGGTGCCACGTAAGGGCCGGTAGACACTGGTGGCGTAGGATAAGCTTGGTTTTGGCTGTATTGGCTCATCTTCGAAATGATTATATGATTTCTCTTTGAAAAAGTTAAGAGGAAAATAGTATATATGTAGAGAGAGTTGTATGATTATGATATGAATTTGATATATGCAAATGAAGAGATATATATACAGGCAAGGGAAGAAAAAGAAGGTCGGTTTAGTAAAACCGCGTGGGCTCAGATACCATTAACTGCTAAGAAGCATCCTTCTTCTTTTTTTTTCTTTTTAATGTAAATCAAAAATTAAATAATAACGTGTTAGTTTTTGTCGAAAAAAAAAAAAAACGTGTTAGAGCATGTGTGCAATAGGGGTCTCTCACAAAAGTTTCTCAAACAAAATAAAAATAATAAAATAATAAAAAGTATTATATGATTATGAGAGTCTTTAAAAAAGTAGTGAGAGCTCAAGTGAGAGACTTTGAGAGACTTTCTCTACATTTTTGAGAGATTTTCATATTAAAATAATTATTATTATTTTATTGTTTTTTTTTTGTATAAGAGACTTGGATGAGAGACTCCTACTGCACATGCTCTTAGTTTTTTTCTCTTGGAGAATAACAATAAGGTATTATATAACAATAAGGTTTTTTATATATAAAAAATTTGTTATCTCTATCTAAAAAGTGTACAGAAGCTTTTAGATAAACCTTATATATATGTAGAATATGCAACATGATGATAAATTCAGCATGGGTTTCTATCTTTCTTGATTAATAATAGAGTTTATTTTCTTTTTCAAAGCAAAAAGTGTACTTCTTTCTCTATGGGAATATTTACATGTTAATAAAAAGAGAGAACAATAATTAACCCTTATAATGTTGATTAATAAAATTTAACAAAGTAAATCAGAATATTTATGTTATTCTGAGAATATTTCTTTTGAGATTTACAACTAACTATTTTCATATCCGATACATAACTTAATTTTCGAGAGAACACATGGAAAGAATAATTGCTGATTTCATATTAGGTGGGAATGTAAACGCAAATTGTGATTTAATTTTAATGTATCTAAATCTAATTCCAGACGATTTAAAGGAGCAACGTTAGGGAATTTTGGTTGTTTGGTGAACCAACCATTGTTTGGTGAACCAACCATTGTTTGTCAAAAATCAACAAAAAACCATTGTTTGTCAGTTTATTTGCGTTACGATATCAGTTAAATTTTACCCAAAAAGTAATATGTATAATTATTATTGGACGGTTAGACCAGATGATCCTGTATAATGCATTCCACCCCAAGTGGAGGAGCGAAATTAAAGTAAGCCAAGTTTTATTAAGGAAGCCAATATTACAGTTTCTCAAATTTTATCAAAACAGAAAAGACATTCTCCATGCACAAGTTTGACCAATGGATTACGTCAAATCTGAAAACATATATAAGTAACGTCTAATTTATTCAGGAAAACAATAGTCAAAGATCACCTAAACCGTACGTGATGGTGTTGATGGTCCACATAATAAAACACATGAAGTCTCGCGCAAACCCTTCTGGTGATGATTAGTTCTGTTGTTAAGAATCTCAAATTGAAGGAAAAAGAAAGAACTTGGTAAGGTAAATAAGGATCTTGAACAAGTTCACTTTCACAAGGTACATAGACCCTAAGCACAAGTGCCCATGGGCTAAACGGACACGAGACTTGTAACCAGAGCCGGTTCTGATTCAAAATAAGGGAAGCTTACGCTTGTGATTTTGAATCTCTTATGCATTTTAATCACCCGTTTTTTTGACAGTATTGTTATAAATAATTTAGTGGTAAAAGGCATATTATATGAATATCAAAGAAGTTGAATAATTCGAAACCATACAAATATATAAATAATAGACCTACTCCTATTTTCATTTTTTTTTACTTTTTAATAAATCTTAATTACAAGTAATGGACCTTAAATTTTTTATTGTTTTCGGCTTTCAACTTTGGTTCTGTTTATAACCTGTTTATTTCCGATCTAAATAAAATAATTGGTTATAAACGGACTAACTGCTTTAGATTTTAGTCATACGGGTCTAATGGACTTGGTTGAAATTAAACTGAACAACCTGTTTAGTCATTTCCTTAAACGACAACATCATTTTGTCTTGACATAGTTGACAGTTTTGGGCACAAAGTACAATAAGTTCCATTATTACAAACTAGTAATAAATAATTAAATTAACAAATTGGAGGTCCAAATATCATAAGCTAATCGAATCCCAAAATATATTTTGGGTAAAGCAAAATAAAATGAAAAATTATTTGCATGAAATATCAAATAAACCATCGAATTCCTCCGAACTCAGAAGATGCATGCGTCAAGGACGCAACAGGCCAACATGGTCGCAAGACTGCGTTTAAAAAAAAAAAAATTATCAAAATTTTAAGTTTCAACACACAATAACCGATCAGGTTCAATATTTGACCAAACGTACGGGGCCGGTTACGTTGAGCCGCAATACGAATTGTCCTATAATTTTCTCAAGGATTAGAAAAAAAAAAGTAAAAAAGAGAGACTAACCAGCCTTTCAAGAATCCATCAGCAGCTTCACCTTTAGACTTTGTCTCGACAGGAGAAACCGTGGCATGAGTTGTGTGGTTCGTTGGGTAACCGAGCGGTGTCGGTGCCACGTAGGGACCCGTAGACACTGGCGGCGTTGTATAAGCTCCTAATTAATTATACATATTTGACATTAGTTTATTACCATAAAACCCTAGAAAATATGATTATGATCGGCATGACGAGATTGACAACATAACATATGAAGCTTAATTAGTATGAAGAAAAGAAAACAAACCTTCAAATTGGTTTTGGCTGTATTGGCTCATCTTCGAACAGATTATGAATTTTCTTTGAAAAAAGTTAAGAGGGAAATAGTATCTACATGTAGAGAGTTGTAGGATATGTGGACTGATATTTGCAAATGAAAATGAATAGTCTGATAGTCATGTGAGGGAAGAACAAAAGAAGGTCGGTTTAGTAGAACCGCGTGAGAGCAGATAAGAATCATTGCTAAGTCTCCAGAAATTTATTATTCCAACGACTAACGAAAACGGCAAGGAAGAATCCTTTTTAAATATAAATCAAATTATATAATTTTAAGAAATAACTAGAAGATGACTAACCCACGCAAGGAATACTATTACTTTCAATATGTTGGATAATTAAATATTATATTTATTTGTAAACAAAAATATAATATAAAAATGATATGAAATGTTTCTTTCTTAATTAGTGATATGAGATTTGTAATATTGAATATATTTTTCCGACATAATTTGGAAATGGCATATATTTATAAATACGAGTTCTTGTGATAACTTTTGACTCAGTCGTATTTGTATATATTCGCGCCAAAAAAAGAGAATTGGCTCTTTCCTTGTAATTTATTTTGCTCCACTTCTTTGTGATTAAGAAAGTCTTATTGTTATTTAATGCCCTACTAAGTACTAGATAGTTTAGAACCTCTTTGCATAAGCCAAATATGCAGCTTAAGATTATACTATCGGAGAAGTTTATTACTCAATAAAACTAAAGCAACTATATTTTACTATATACCATCGGCCTTCTCTATTTGAAGAACATAATATAAAATTACCAATTTTACCAGATTAAGCATTTCTTATGGTGAGTCCTCTCCCGTACCATAGGAACTACGGCTCTTAACTCAAGAGGAAGTTAATAGACTTTGCCAAAGATGTTGCATTTTTGAAGAAATTGAAGCATCAATTATACCCTCTAATGTAGAATCCATATTCTAAGGATCGTAATTTGAATTATTATGTCATCTTATTAATTGCAAATTTGGTTTGGAAAGTCTTGATAATGTGGGAATTTGACTTTCCTTTGTCTGTGTGCTTTTATTGTCTAACGTTCTTGTGTAAGGTATTTGATCTTATTTCCTTGTTAGAAAAGGAATGAGATATTGCAGGATTAATGACAAGATACGTTGGTGGTGAATAAAAGGGAGAAGACGCCTCTTCTCATGATACGCTTGCTCATTGCAAAAACAGAGAAAAATAAAACAGAGTTGATAATACAAGTGTTGTTTAGCTGCTAAGTTTTGGAAGAGATTACCTTGAGAAGAGATTTCTGTTGGTGTGAAGAGCACAAAGCAAAGACTTCTCCAAGAAGAAGACAGCCATGATTAAGGGGGAGTAAACTGATTTTACTTGTAACCTTAGTTCATGTTTCTTCGGTAGATGTATTAAAACTTGTGTAGAAGTTTTAGTCTATCGTGTACTTGTCTTCTTGAAGTGATCTAATAAACTTGTTTGCAGCCCGAGGACTAGTGGTTGGTTTGAAAGAACCAACCGATACCTCGTTAAATCTCGTGTCGTCTCTTTATTGTTTATTTAGCTTCCGCATTATTTCAATATCTAGTATATCTCAAAATTCTTCATGGTATCAGAGCAAGTTCACTGATCAAGTTTAAACTTTTGCAGTGATTCGATTCTTAATTTTGAGACTAGATGGATCCTCCTAGAGAAGGTAGCTCTGTGACACGACCACCATTCTTAGAAGGAAGTTCAAACTACGGCTACTGGAAAATCAGAATGCAATCCTTCATTAGCTCTATTGATGGCGATGCATGGAATTCTGTGATTATTGGATACAAAGAACCTACGTTGGCTGATGCTCAAGGAAATGTTGCACCAAAGGTGAGAAGTCTATGGTCTGAAGAAGAAGTTAAGAAATGCACCAGCAACTCCAAAGCTTTGAACGCGATATACAATGCAATCGACGTCGGTCAATTCCGAACGATCTCTTGTCAGAAAACAGCTACGGAAGTATGGGAGGCGTTGGAAACCACCTAAGAAGGCGCATCTAAGGTTAAACAAACAAAACTCATCATGCTTAAATCTAGATTTGATAGTTTGTTAATGCAGCCTGACAGCTCGATTGCTGAATTCTACAAAGAGCTAAGAGACATTGCAAACGAATCGTATGCTCTTGGAAAAACATACACAGAGTTTGATATGGTCATGAAGGTCTTGACATCTCTCCCAGACAAGTTTGCTCCCAAGAAAACTGCTATGATGGAATCAAATGACGTTATGAAGATGAAGCTGGAAGAGCTTATTGGTTCACTACAGACGTACGAAATGGAATTGAAGATGCAAGATCAGAACAGAGGTCTAGCTGAAAGAGCAAGGAGTCTCGCTTTTGTCTCCACTGAAAACAAAAGTGATGATGAAAACGAGAATATGGTGATGCTCACAAAGAAGATCGGAAGATATGTGAAGCAACTGGACCTGTTGAAGAAAGACAAGCAATCTCCAAGTTCTGGTAGCAGATTCAACAAAAGAGATGGTAGTCGTGGCAAAGACAAAAAACCAGTTAAGTGCTTTGAGTGTCAAGGGTATGGACACCTTAAAGCGGATTGTGCGAATCTGCAGAAACGAAAGGAAAAGTCACTAAAAACAACACTAAGTGAGTCGGAGACAGAAAGTGATGAAGAAGATGTCTCCTACAACAACGTGATTTCCTTCACTGCAGAAATAGAAGAGCCTGTCAAAACTGAATCTGTTAAAACAGAGTCTTCCATAACAGAAACTGTTGAAGCTGATGAGGAGTACTCGGACGATGAAGAACTGCCTACTTATGAGGAGCTACTGCAAAACTTCGTCACTACCTGCAGTCAAAATGTAAGTTTACTCAAGGAGAGGAAAGAGCTTAACACTCAGATTGAAGACTTGAAAACTCAACTTCAAAAGAAAAACGAAGAGTTGTTGGCAACACAACGTGATCTTGAAGAGACCAGAAAAGGAGTGAAAATGATGAGCACCGGAACCGCAAAACTTGATCAAATCCTTACTGCTGGTAGAGTTGGTCATCAACCTCACGGACTTGGGTATAAAGGTAACAATTCTGCATCAAAAACTGTCTTTGTTTCAGGTGGAGTACAAGATGTCACAAGCACCTCTCATCAACAAGTAGTTGCAAGAAAATTTCGTCCAATTTGCCATTACTGTGGACGAGAAGGCCACATCCGACCTCGGTGTTACAGGTACATTCGTTCCATGAGACATTACGTTCCTTATCGATATAAGCAAGCATGGGTGAGAAAAGATAGTATTTACTGCAACGTAGCATATACCTCTCAACACAAAAACTCTCTTCAAAAACTTAATGATAGATCATGGTACTTTGATAGTGGTTGTTCTCGTCATATGACAGGGGACAAGAGTTTGCTTTCAGATTATCGCAAGTATGATGGAGGTCACGTTACGTTCGGAGATGGACTGAAAGGAAAGATCATTGGTAAAGGTTCCATGGTTGTTGAAGGATTAGTCACTATTACTAATGTTCTTCATGTGCAGGATTTAAAGGCCAATCTTCTCAGTGTTGGACAGATTTGTGATAGTGGATTTACTATGCAGTTTTCTAAGATCAGATGTGAAGTGTATAATGAGCATACTAAATTGATTCTCACAGGAAACCGATCTCATAATAATAGTTGTTATCTGTTGGAACAGGACATCAGCTGCAAGCAAGCTTCTATTGATAATACTACCTTGTGGCATCAAAAGTTAGGACATATACGCTTTAAAAATCTGATAAAGCTTGTTAATGCAGATGCAGTAAGAGGAGTCCCAGCTCTAAAATTTCCAGAAAATGTTGTGTGCAAACCATGTCTACAAGGTAAACAAGTTCGAGTAAGCCATAAGAAGAATCCAATGATTAATACCACTCAAGTTCTGGATCTTCTACATATGGACTTAATGGGTCCTGTTGCAACAGCAAGTATTAACGGTAAAAAGTACATATTTGTGTGCGTAGATGATTTCTCTCGTTTTACTTGGGTTGATTTTCTCCGTGAAAAATCTGATGCTATTAATAGTTTTAAGACTCTGTGTTTACAGTTAAAGAATGAGAAAGGTAATGTGAAACGGATCCGGAGTGATCATGGTAAGGAATTCGAAAACTCCATGTTTACTAACTTTTGTGGTGATCAAGGGATCTTTCATGAGTTTTCAGCACCAAGAACCCCACAACAAAATGGTGTAGTTGAACGAAAAAATCGCACAATTCAAGAAATGGCGAGAGCCATGCTTCATGGTAACAATGTAAGTGTTCGTTTTTGGGCAGAAGCTGTTAATACAGCATGTCACACAATCAACAGAGTATACATGCGCCCAGGTATGAGTAAAACTCCGTATGAATTGTGGAAAGGTAAACGACCTGATTTGAGTTACTTTCACGTTTTTGGCTGTGATTGTTATATTCTGAATGATCGTGATCAACTGGGAAAATTTGATGCTAAAAGTGATGTAGGAATCTTTGTTGGATATTCCCCAAATAGTGCTGCTTACAGGATTTATAATCTGAAAACAAAGACAATAATTGATTCTGTCAATGTTGTCTTTGATGATCTTAAGCTAACATGTACTAACCCTCGTGTTGAGGATGATGTTATCTTGCAGGAAGATTTAAGAAGAGCTGTGGCACCAGTGAGTAATACTCATCCAACCCAACCTGTCATCACTGATATCCCAGCAGAAACAACAAATACAGAAACTGCTCCTGAAGTAAATCCAACAATGCAAACAGAGCCTCTGTCTGTTTCAACAGGGACGCAGCAAACAGAGCAAGAATCTGGTTCTACCTCAATGACGGAGACTCAACAAGCTACTCAAAACCAGCTTGATTCTCGTGATGATGAACAAGAATCACGACCTACAGTCCACAGAAACCATTCAATTGCAGATGTGATTGGTGATGTTTTTGATGAGAGGGTCACTCGTGACAAAGAGAGGGTAGATTATAAGAAAATGGTTCATTTTACTTGTTTTGTGTCTTTCATTGAACCCAGGAATGTCATAGAGGCTCTAGACGATGATTACTGGATTCAAGCATGCCAAGAAGAGCTGGAACAATTCACTCGAAATGATGTTTGGTATCTCGTGCCTAGACCAGAACAAGGAAACGTCATAGGCACTAAATGGATATTCAAGAACAAAACCGATGAACTTGGCAACATAATTAGAAACAAGGCTCGTCTCGTTGCACAAGGATACACTCAAATAGAAGGAGTGGACTTTGAAGAAACGTTTGCTCCGGTTGCTCGGTTAGAATCTATTCGTTTATTACTTGGAATATCTTGTCAGATGGGATTTAAGCTTCATCAAATGGACGTCAAGAGTGCCTTCCTCAATGGCAACTTACAAGAGGAAGTTTACGTTGAACAACCGAAGGGTTTCACGGATCCTCATCAACCTGAGCATGTTTATCGACTTAAGAAGGCGTTATATGGTCTAAAGCAAGCTCCTAGAGCTTGGTATGAGAGACTCACACAATTTCTTCTCGGAAATGGTTACACACAAGGGGGAGTAGACAAAACTCTATTTCTATTACACTCCTCTTCTTCATTATGTGTGATTCAGATATACGTCGATGACATTGTTTTTGGCTCAACTTCGCAGGAACAGTTACAAAAGTTCATCACCACCATGACTCAAGAATTCGAGATGAGTATGGTTGGGGAGTTAAGCTACTTCCTTGGTCTTCAAGTCAAACAAATTCCAGAAGGCATTTTTATTTCTCAAGCCAAATATGCTCGTAGTCTTGTTAAGAAGTTCGGTCTTGACAAAGGTAAAGCTGCAAAAACCCCGATGAGTACAACAACAAAACTAACCAAAGATGAAGGAGGTGAAGACGTGGATGTATCAACATATCGAAGTATGATTGGAAGTCTTTTGTATCTCACGGCGAGTCGACCAGATTTATGTCTTAGTGTTGGGATATGCGCACGATATCAAGCTTTCCCAAAGAAATCTCATCTCACCGCGGTCAAACGAATCATCAAATACGTCAACGGCACTTCCGACTACGGTATCTTCTACTCTAAAGACACTGATGATAATTTGGTTGGTTTTTGCGACTCTGATTGGGCAGGTAGTGCTGACGATCGAAAAAGCACCAGTGGTGGCTGCTTTCTACTTGGCACCAATCTCATATCGTGGCACAGCAAAAAGCAAAACACGATTTCTTTATCCACTGCTGAAGCCGAGTATATCGCACTTGGAAGTTGTTGCACACAACTTATTTGGATGAAACAAATGCTACTGGATTACGGTAAAACTTCAGACACTATGGCTATATTCTGTGATAACACTAGTGCTATTAACATTGCAAAAAATCCAGTTATGCATTCTCGTACTAAACATATAGCCATTCGTCATCATTTTATCCGAGAATTAGTTGAAAATAAAACGATTGTCATTGATCATGTTTCAACAGCGCTTCAACTTGCAGATATCTTTACAAAACCTCTGGATTATACTAGATTTATTACTCTGAGAAAATCTTTAGGAGTTTGTTCTCTCTGATTTTTTTTTTTTTTTTTTCATTCATCGTTAATCTCCGAGAAAGGTTTTTAAGTTGTTTTTGCAGGCCATAAAAATAAAACAAAAAGCCCAGCCCTCTTCAATGTGTCGTTAATGGTCTTCAATAATTGGGTAATACCTTTCCTTATTTTTTTGAAAAATTATTTAAAAAAAAAAAAAAAAAAAAATCATTTTTTGTGTCGTTGTTTTTTTCTAAAACATTTGTTTTTATTTAAAAAAAAAAAAAAAAAAAAAAAAAAAGGATTTTAAGTCGATAAAAGAAAAGTTTTTTTTTACCCTAAGCAATCTTCTTTGTTTTTCTTCGTCTCTTCCGCCGTTTTCTTTTTCTCTTGTCTGTTCTCAGGATTTCTTCACTCTCCATGGAACAAATATCAAATCACAATTCCATGGATCCGGTGGTTATTATATCTAAAAGAAAATCAAACAAAGCATCCACCAAGTTACTTTCTCCCGCGAAAGCTTCAAATCAGTTGGGTTCTCGGCGTTCAAAGCTATCGCAATCAATAGGCGCATTTGCATGGGCAACCGGGTAAATGATCTTCCACAGACCTCTACGTCACGAGCAGCACCACAGTCTTCGTTTCCTGTGCATCTCAAGAATGAACTTCAAGCTGCCATAAATGATGCCACCAAAGTTCTTGGGCGTCTAACATCTATTCTTGATGAAATCAATAAGCACGGTTTGCCTTCTACCCCTTAATTTTTTTTAAAAGAGCAATTTCATTTATATTATTTTTGACTAACAAAGTTCATACAGGGGGAGACAACTAGAGGATTAAATCTCTGCTTCAAGCTTATTTTATTGGCGCCTTCTTATTAGTTTTTCTTGTGGCGTTTTATCTAGGCGGTTTAATCTCTTAGTTGTTCTTTTTGGTATGATTCTTAGTTAGTCAAAAAGGGGGAGAATGTAGAATCCATATTCTAAGGATCGTAATTTGAATTATTATGTCATCTTATTAATTGCAAATTTGGTTTGGAAAGTCTTGATAATGTGGGAATTTGACTTTCCTTTGTCTGTGTGCTTTTATTGTCTAACGTTCTTGTGTAAGGTATTTGATCTTATTTCCTTGTTAGAAAAGGAATGAGATATTGCAGGATTAATGACAAGATACGTTGGTGGTGAATAAAAGGGAGAAGACGCCTCTTCTCATGATACGCTTGCTCATTGCAAAAACAGAGAAAAATAAAACAGAGTTGATAATACAAGTGTTGTTTAGCTGCTAAGTTTTGGAAGAGATTACCTTGAGAAGAGATTTCTGTTGGTGTGAAGAGCACAAAGCAAAGACTTCTCCAAGAAGAAGACAGCCATGATTAAGGGGGAGTAAACTGATTTTACTTGTAACCTTAGTTCATGTTTCTTCGGTAGATGTATTAAAACTTGTGTAGAAGTTTTAGTCTATCGTGTACTTGTCTTCTTGAAGTGATCTAATAAACTTGTTTGCAGCCCGAGGACTAGTGGTTGGTTTGAAAGAACCAACCGATACCTCGTTAAATCTCGTGTCGTCTCTTTATTGTTTATTTAGCTTCCGCATTATTTCAATATCTAGTATATCTCAAAATTCTTCACCCTCTTCACTTGTCTCTTTTCCATCATGATTTGGAAACTTTCAACTATTCTTTTAACGATCATACAATCCTTTTCAGATGATTATGAAGAAAACAGCTCTCACATATTAGACTTCCAAAAGACACATGGCATTACAAAAAAAACAATATACCTTTGTGGCTTCCAAAAAAATAATAATATATGTGAGAGTCGTCCCTCCAAAATAGTATTACAAGTCCAAACGAACATATAAAAGTGTTCGAACTACTTGTGCATATGAAACCGATTCGGCGATTCCACCAAACGATAAGAATCTATGGAAAACGTACTTTTGGCGTAATTAATCTCCCCATTCCACCGAACGACAAGTTTTGATTCTCATACTCAACAAGTTACATGAGGTTGGAACGTTAGAAATAGTCAAGGTGTGGCTAGAGGTTGAGGATCAGCCAAACTACGTCCTGATAATACACCTTTAAAAGCCGAAGCTTTATTGACATCAATGCAACATACTTGGTTCAAAGGCTTTACCTCAATTTGTTTTAAAGGAAATTGTGAAGTTCTCATCAACATCAACATCATTCCCTCTGGTGATTTCTATTGAAGAATTATGCCAAGATATTGGGCAACAAAATTTAAAGATATTCGATTCTCATTTACTAAACGTTCTTTTGTAATCAAGGCTAAAAGGAATTGCATAAATTCTTAATTTTCTCGGATTATATGAACTCCTCGCATTGTATTGTATTGTAAACATCTTAATTTTTTAATCAATATGAATTAATTTTGATGAAAACGAAAATCATCGTATATTTCACTTTAGCCAAAAAAAATCATACACATATTTTGTTTTGATTTTGTTATCTCTATATAAAAATACTGTATAGAGTTTGAATAACATTAATTAGAATACGTTAACTCTAATGAAGTTAATTTAAGCATGGTTTAGATGTGTAAGAGAAAAAACGATTTATTAATAAGATGGTAAAAATTACACAATACAAAAAAAAACAGTAATAAAGAAATGAATTAATAAATAGGAGTTCAAAATGTAATAAGCTAATCAAATCCCAAAATATAATTTGGGTAAAGAAAAATACAAGGATAAATAATTTGCATGAAATATCAAATAACCCATCCAATTCCTCCGAATTCAGAAGCAGGCGTCGAGGACACAACAGCAACACATGGCCGCAAGACTGCATTCAAAAATTAAAGGAAAATAATAATTATCAGGTCATCAACTTTCAAATTCAACAATAACCGATTCGGTTCGGTATTTAACCAAACGTACGAGCCCGGTTAGGTTGAGCCACCATAACTAATTCTCCTAAAATTTTAATTGAAATATTCCAAAGGAGGGAGAGACTAACCAGCCTTTCAAGAATCCATCACCCTTGGATTTTGTCTCGACCGGAGCCACCGGGGCATGACTGGTGTCGTTTGTCGGGTAACCGAGCGGTGGTGGTGCCACGTAAGGGCCGGTAGACACTGGCGGCGAAGGATAAGCTCCTAAATAATTACACATATGATTTTCCATAATTAGTTTGATGGTAATAAAACTCTAGAAATATGATTATTATGACGAGATTGACAACATATATGATTAATATGTAAGTAGAAAATAAAACAAACCTGAAGATTGGTTTTGGCTGAATTGGCTCATCTTCGAACGGATTATGATTTGTTTTGAAAAGGTAGAGGAAAAATCGTATGTAGAGGTGTAGATTAATATGAATTGATATATGCAAATGAAGATATTGTCACGTACAATATATATAGGCAATGGAAGAAAAAAGAAAAAAGAAAAAAGAAGGTCGGTTTAGTAGAACCGCGTGAAGGCAGATATTTATTCCAACGACGAACGAAAATGGCTAGGAAACTTCCTTTTTTATGTAATTACAATTTTAAGAATAACTAGATGGAATTTTTTGGTTAAGGTAACTACATGATATACTCACCCATCTAAGGAATAATATCCAGTGTAGTATTTTAGAGAATTTGAATATATTAGCCTACTTCCATTATTAATATATTTCCTTTATGTGTTGGATTTGGGTTAGCATTGACATACATTTGCTATTACAACATAATGTAAACTATCCTAATCCAAATCCAACACATAAAAAATACATTAATAATAGAAATATGCTAGAATATTATCGAGATTCACGTCTTGTTTTCCAAATATTTTCATTTAAATTTCATAGGTTTCACGGGTTTCATTTTATAATCGGGCTTTAATAATCCACAATACTTAATCCCACAAATTATCTCTTAATAATATGAATTACTCCCGAGTTTTGTTGAAAGTGATTAAAAAAAAAAACAGAAAATATATATTGCCACGTTTACGTGTCAAAAATTTGGATGCTTTCGTGGTAGCTTCAGATTTTTACCGTAATGTTTTGAAAATTCTATAATTTTTGCCGTAATGTCAAAAATATATAATTTAGCGACTTAAGTACTTTTAACAAAATAATTATAAGATACAGTATGACTAATTTTTTCCCACCAAAAACAAAAAGACAATACAAGTTGGCCTTTTCCTTGTGATTTATGTATTTTGCTCCACTACTTTGTAATTAAGAAACTCTTTTTGTTAATTAATTAATGACTTACCAAATAGTTTAGAACAAACAAAAATCCTCTATCCGTAATCCAATATGCAGATTAAGATTATACTATTGGATAAGTTTCCTAATCAAGAAACTGATTATACAATCATATATTTCACTTTAACCGAAAAAAATCATACACATAATTATTTTTTTGTTATCTCTATAGAAAAATACCATGGCGTTAATATGCACCATGAATGATAAATTCAGCATGGCTTTATTCCTTTCTTTGTTTAACAAAGAGTTTCTTTTCTTTCTCAAAGTGCTTTCTCTATGGGAATATTTACATGTTAAATAAGAAAAAGAGAGAATTTTACAACTAAACCTCACAATGTAAAACAGAATATATGAAATGGTTTCTTTTGAGATTTACAACTAACTATTTTCCTTTCCGTTAAGAATTTATATAGAATATTACATCCGAAAACTTTATTTTCGAGAGGGCACATGGAATTATTCTTACTAAGGAAATTAAGTATTGGTTTCATATCAGGTGAGAATGTAAACGCAAGTTGTGTTTTTATTAGTGTATATCGAATAATATAGAAGAGCAACGTTAGAGAAGCTTGGTTGTTTGTTTGGTGAACCGACCAATGTAGTTCTCAATTTACTAAACGTAATTTATTTTCGTCACGTATAATTAACAACACCTACAAAAAGAAAAGAAGTTGATATAACGCGCTATGCAAAAGATTGTCTTAAGAAAGCCAAGTCAATACTCTTTTCCCAATTTACCCAAAAGCTAAAGCCTATACGACATTCTCAATGCAAAAGTTTGACCAATGGATTGTGTCAAATCTGAAAACGTTACGTCTATATATTTAGAAAAGCAATCTTTTCAGGTCACACAACCGTATATGATGATGATAATGATCACAACGGATAACTAAACCATGATATGTATTTGGTTACCAAATTTTAGTGTATGGACCATTCAATGTTCAAATCCCATAACTTGATTCAAAGTTACAAACACTTGGATGCTTAAGGCCACGTGGTTGGCCCCTTGTTAGAGCTAAACGGGCCTTAAAAAATACAACTCTACGTCATTTAGGACATATTGTATTAGATTTACTGATTTAGAATGTGTGGATTTATTTATATATAGAGAGTAATTTGGTGAGTAGCTTGTTTTTGGGTCAACAAAAATTGAGAAAGTGGCATGTTTTCTTTCAATGATAAGCTTGTTGACACAAATACCTTCGACCGGTGCTCGCGCAAGGAAAGTAAGCCATATTTAAACAACATCAATTCAGGGCTAAAATAATACTAATATTTAGAGAAAAACAAATTATCAACCTAATTTCTATAAGCTTCAAGAAAAAATTACTCTACTGAAGAAAAAAGTTAATATTTAATCTAAATTCAAAACACATTATGGGTCTCACAATTTGGACAAAGCCCCAATATTTCAGTCAACTGACCTAAAAAGAAAGAAAGAAAACTAAAAAAACTAATCCAGAATTGCCTGAAAACTAAATCCTTTTTACTTGTGGCTTAAGCAATAAGCAGAGTTATGATTAGGAAGAACTAGAGCTGCTCGCTCCTGAACAACCTTGCCCGGAGTAACTAGACTCTCTTGCCGGAGGAGGAGGAACAGGTACCTGGCCAGATTCACCGGAAGTCGAAGCGCCATCGCCCCCAGGAAGAGAGTTTCCACGGCCAGATTCTCCTCAAGTGGAGCCGTTGCTGTTGCTGGAATTTTTAGGGGTGAGAGCAAAACAGAGTTTACCTGTTCCAGATCGGAAAGACCAGAGAGGGTAGACGTCCTCTTCCTTAAAGTTATTAGCATCAAGCACATTTTTCCAACCTTTAACAAAGTTATAATACCAGTTTCCACTCATCTTCCACTTCCTCAACTCAAGCTCATGCTTCTTCCGATTAGGATCCACCAAATCCACACTCACACCATCGTCACGAATCTTCATGGCATTTTCATTTATGATTCTTGTCTCATTCTCTGTCAAAAAGTCCGGATTGATAACCTGCTTAAAGGGTACTGAGAGACGTGCTTGGTGTGTTCTGAGATCAGTCTGAAAGAGTTGCCTCGTTGAGATCAGCTTCGGATTGTAGCCGTTCTCTTCTCTCCTCATCACGTTCAAAAGCCACTCCGATGGAGTTGTTTGAATTGGTTCCACCTCTAAAGGACTAACGACTTTGCGTTTCTTTCGACTTCTCTTTTCCACGTTAATGGGACGTTTTTCCTTGGAACGACGACTAACGTAAGAAGAAGGAGAAGACTCTAAACCCAGATTAGGGTTTTGTAGTACTGGTTCCACGGAAGTGACTGATCTTTGTTGTTCGATGGCACGCGTCCGTGTTGTTGTCATCGTGCGAGAAGAAGATGATCGGTGACAAGGACTTCTCTTCTTTCTTGGCCCGGCATCCCCAAAGATATTAGGATCGTACTCCTCTTCCGAAGATGGTCCGACCTCAAAACGACCAACAGTTTGGCGTTTTCGAGGACTCGTTCGCGATTGTGTATGTTTAACATCCATGTTCTCTATCCTCTCTCCGATAATTTCATGCATCATCTCCTCCGGATAAAGAACCATCATCAGTGAAACAATATCATCAGCAGATTTCACCATTTTGATGATATATATCTCTTGTCGAAATAGAACCAAAAAAAAAGAAACTAGAAGGAATTCGAGTTATGTAGCTAGAGAGTAAAAGGTTGGCTTTGTACGCAATGAACAGAGCTCAAGAGCGAGAATTGAGAAAAATGGAGAAGAAGAAGGTATGTGTAACGATGATCTTATATAATATTTCAGTTCCTATTTATTCGGGATTTGAGAAACAGATAGGTTTAAGAAAGAGACCGACTTTTCAGGTGATTATATAAGCAAACGGAGAAAACCTAATTAAGACCGGTTTTTCAGGTGATTAAGACCGGTTTAATTTAAGAAACAGACCGGTTCTTTCCGGTTTGTTTAAATTCTAATGTTTATAACTAGGATATGTATAGCGGGTTAATTATTTGATTTTTTTTTATAAACTGATGAATTTGTTGTGTATAATAATTTTTGTTGTATACCGCGGATTGATTTTTTGTAACTAAAATTTTTAAATTTTAAGTTATATATATATTTTTTGTTTAGTGTTTAAGATTGTACAATTGTATTTTAATTATTAATCTTAGATTTTATCCGTGGTATACCGTCCCGTATTAATATTGACCCAAACTCGTCTACCATATAACCTGTCGCATGAAACTAAATTATTTTTCTTTTCAATAATACTTTTATTTTTAAAAAATTATATTTTATAGTATGTTGTAGGCTTCATTTATAAACAATTACTAGATCATAACCCGTGCTGGAACAGCACGGATGAAATTTTAATTTTTAAATATTTATATAAAGTTGGATTATTGTTTGTTTTATAGTATAATTTTAATAATTCTTTACATAATACAATGCCATATAAGGATTTTTTTATTTTATTTTGTTTGATGAGAAAATATTAGGAGTGGGGTACGGTTTTTCGGTTTAGTATCGTTTTTTTCGTTTTGTAGAAAGTGAAACCATATAGAAACCGTATGTAATTCGGTTTAGTTACAGTTCGATTTTTACGGTTTTTTACGTTTTTTGTTTAAAAATAAAACGTATGTATTTGATATATGCTAGTAGTAAGTGAATAAAAATTGCGTATATAATAAACACTAGATTTTAACCCGCGGTACACCGCGGGGCTATATTTTCTTAAAAAAATCAAAATGTAATTTGTTTGATAGATTATTTTGATTGTTAATTTTAGGATTTCACCCGTGGTATACTATCTTTTATAAATATCAACCCAAACTCGTCCCATCATATTACCCGTCCCGTGAAATTAAACATCATTTAGTTATTTTTCTTTTTAATAATACTTTTATTTAAAAGCTATATAATTCAAGTCAATTTAAAAATTTCTTTTAAATGGTTCCCATAAGATATATATACATATATATTAAATTTGTATAGAGTTGAAATAATATTAATATTACAAACTTTTTATATAATTTAAATATTATAAATATTTTTAAAAATATGCAATATATACTTTTGTTATTGAATAAGAGGATATTATGTGTAAGAAATGTAGAAAATAAGAATTTAATATTTTTATTATGGAGTCGCAAGAAAAATCTTTTATTTCTATACATGTTATTCGTTTATTAATAATAAAAGAAAACAAATCCTTTAAATTAGATATTAACTAAAATAAACGCACCATAATTACTTATTAAGTAACAACCAATAAATTACACCAAAAAATAGGTAACAACCAATAAATTCTAAACGCAGTAATTAAAGAATGAGATATTAAAAAAAAATATCAAATAAGATATAAGAATCTTAAAATAATTGAATATCTAAATAATTTAATTGTTAGTGTCGATTTTAATGCCTTCATTAATGTGGATTTTTTTTTTTACAGAGAAATATTTCCTAAAGATTATCACATTAATGACTCAGAAAATTAAGGAATATATGAATTTATGATTCTCGAAATCGTGTTGGTAATATCTTTAATTAATATTTTTCAAATTTAAATAATTAATGCCAATGGCATTCATCCGTAAATACATTCCAACTCCAGGATTTATTTGCTAAAAGTCATCCAAAAATGTATATATAGATATTTTGGTATATAATAAGATTAGATTCAACCCGTGCATACCTATATTTTTATTTTAGAATCCCAATAAAAAAATTGTGTGCACAATCAATCATTCGTTATTTTCATATATACTTATAGAATCAAAATTTTAAATATTTAGAGGTGTCAAACCTTATTTAACTCATCTCATCATATAATCTTAATATGGTTTCGGTTATAAAGATCATAACTCTTTTTATCATATAATACATTACATTTAACCTTCTACTTGTTATAAATATTTTAAATATTTATGCTTTGAAAAGGAAATTAGAGTATTTATAACTTTTATCTTTTGATTTATTAAATATTTATGATATTCTGTAAAATATTATATTAAACTATTTTAAAATTTTCTCAAATTAAAATATATATATTTTTTTTAATTGTAGAATATAAAATTAAGATTTTTTTTAAAATAATTGTATGAACTTAAATATAAATATTCAAATAGTTATAAGGATCATAACTCATTTCATCATATAATACATTATATTTAACCCACCGTCTATTATAAATATTTTTTAAATATATATGTTTTAAGAAAACCAAATTAGTGTATGTATAATTTTTAATTTTTTATTTATTAAGTATTGATGATATTTGTTTTTAAATATCAAGTAAAACTATTTTTAAATATTCTAAATTAAAATATTTAAAATTGTATCGTAGTATATAAAATTATATATTTTTTAAAAATTTATGAAATTGAATATAATAACTCAAATTCTGACCCGTTATTCAGGCGGAATTTGTTTTGAATTTATTTTTGTTTAAAAGAAATATATTATCCAAGTCTAAATTTTTGACTCGATAAATTTTTTTTACATAAATTGAATCATTTATATTCGTTTTTAAAAATTCAAATGATGTCATATGCGGAAAAAAATCTATTTTTTATTATTATATGGATGATATGATGATTTATTTGTTTCACAATAATAGAATCATATAAAGATGAGAGGTGAAATATAATGATTAATAACAAATTAATAAGGTAAGTTAGATATCAAATCTTATATATTCATTTTGATTGGTCATTTAAAAATAATAATAATAACGTGTTTTTCGTTTTTATAATTAAATTAAATTAATTAAATTGTATAAATTGACTTGTTTATCCTTAATAAGATGAATTAATTTACTCTTTGAAATTTTATCTCTAATGGCATTTTTAGGTAAATTTTTACAAAAGAGAAGGTTAGTTAAGGGTATCTTATAAAGTGTACTCCCCAAATAATAGTATAGGATCGTTTTAGGTCGGTTTATTCAGTTCAAGTAAGAAAGAAAAGACGAAGCTATGCGTGGTCAGTTCTTACTCTTTCCCCTTTTCGTTTCATGATTTCGAATCTTAGGGTTTCTAATTCCTCGCTAAATTAGGAAATTTCTGAAACAATTGGTAATCGAATTTCTCAGTGATTAGACATTTGAGTATCACATCTCCAGATTTAGGGTTTTCGATACTAAGTATGTGTCTCAATGTCAAAAGGTTGCTATGTGGAAATCAGAAATCTCAATTTTGTAGTTGTTCTTTGTGATTTTTTTGGTGGATTGATATGTTGATGTGACTGTGACTTCATTAGCTGATTAGTATTGTTAATTAATTGCTCAGAAATGATTAGGGATATGAGTAGATTAAGAAATAACTTTGCGTTCAATTGTTTGTTTGAGAAAGATCATGTAATGGATTTTTTTTTTTTTATGATGGTGTAGCTGTGAAAGCTGATTTGATGGCTAAACTTGATAAAGAGGTTAAATCTTTGAAAGAAGATAGTATACGTGATTGCCCTCTCCAAGTAAGCTTACTTGATGCTTCTTTTAGAATAAAGTGTTTAGTTTGATTGGTCCTGATGTTTGACCAAAAAAAAAAAAGATTGGTCCTGATGTTTGTTTTGATGATTGACATAGGTTGATGAGTCCATTCGTTTTACTGATTGAAAACACTACAAAAAATATCTACATTATTAGCTAGAGAAAAGAGCTATTATATGTCATTAGTAGCGTTTTCATAAACGCTGTCTTATGCCCCTGTTATGGTAGACCCCCACATACGATAGCGTTTTTTCCGTATGTTATGGTAGAGTATTTTACCATAACATTAGTTAAACGCTTTGGTATAATAACGACTTTATATTTTTTTTTAATTATGTAATAACTCATTTTTCGTGCTATTATAGGTGCTTTCTACCATAACTTTATTAAAATGCTTTGATTTTTTATAGCGCATTTTTATGCTGGAATACATTATATGCAATTAAAATATATAGATTTGAAATCCAATTAATAATATGCTACAGAACCAATTTATTAAAAACATGTTTCTTTTCATAGATCATCAAAAGTTACATAGTGTAGCATTGAACACCATTTGTTAAAAAAAGGTCTTAAACAACATCATAAGTACTGCAATTCAGATGGACTAAACGAAGAATTACATTGGTTTGCTCTTTCTCTCCCTCCAAGAACTTAGGTTGATGTCCACACTTCACTGCCTTCTCCATATTCTCTGCAGTTTGGTTCTTTTCTTTGTCGTTGGCTGTCTTTGTATAAGTAAAGCAAGTGAGTTTTTCAAATGCTTCTACTAGATAATGACTACATATAAAAGCGTGAGGAAAGAAGGAAAGATAAGCTAGAAAAGGTATTTGGAGCAGCAAAGTGTCTTACCAATACCTACCACAGCTGAATCTGAGAAAAACAAGAATACAACTTAACTAGAGACCAATAATTTGAATTATAGCTTATGAAGAACATACTTCACAGAGAACACAAGAATTTTTAGAATCAGAAATTTTTTAAGAATATCTAAGATCCACCGAAAGCTTTTCTTAAGAATATCTAAGATCCAGTGAAAGCTTACCTCACCAAAAGATGAATCGAAGCTTTCTATCCAATACCCTCACTAAAGACAAAACATTTATTGAACCATAAAATAATTTATAGATTCATACGGAAAAAAAAAAACAGAAACTCATACATGAGATCACTTGTTACTTGGTTATTCATGACGTTGTTTCCACAAACTCCAACTTGCAATCAAACAAAAACACCATCAATATTTTCATAAAACTAATTGTGCCAAGATATAACCGAAGCAATACAAACAAAACCCATATTATCAAACTTACCATTAGGAAACAATTTCAAAACAAATGTGATCTCACCATGTATCAAACAAACAGAAGATACTAACCACACATACTCCATTTCTCTAGCGTCAAAAGATTAATTCACCTATAAGAAAGGCAAAACAACAACAATTAGAAACTGCACAACTGATTATTGTACCTAGTCCCGAGTTTATCAAAAGAAAGCTTCTATGTGTTTTACCATCTTTTACAGCAAGATTGATGACTCTCACTCTTTTTAAATCTTTTTATCACACTAGAAGGATGTAATAAAACAGTAGCGTCAACAAGCTTCTGTTTTGCCATTTCCACCGCAACTTTTGCTGAGATTAAACACAAAACAGGAAAGATAAAGCCATGTGTAAGCTCATGTCAGTGGACCATGGTTTATTTATTATCCAACAAAGAGATAAGTCATTGTCTTGTTCTTAGCTTTGCAATCAACAACTAACAATGGATCTCCATGGAAGACATCAGGAACCACGACATAGAATCCAGCTTCTGCAACCTTGTCAACAAGCTTCCTATCACAGTAAGAACATAAAACGAAGACAAGTTACAGCAACAATTAACCTAAGCATCGAGCTAGAGAAACTAACACAAATCTGGCAAAAAAAAACAAATAAATCTTCTCATAAATCTTCATATCAAATGAGTTCTTTCTCCCTCTCTCTCTCAACCAATTTCTCAACCCTTACCTTCTTCCTAGCCTTAGCCTCCTCCTCTTGAACCATATCTCTATTTCTTTGATCCGGTTCACGATAACGTTCACGACGACCACGCTCACGGTCTCTCTCTCGCTCTTGCTCTCTGTCTCTATCCCTATTGCAGTATCGATCTGGCCCTCTATCTCTCTCCCAGTCGCAGTCACGTTCTCGTTCCTGATCGCGGTCTCGATCCTTGTCAAGATTGGTGTTGTCTCCATTAGAGGAATCGACCGAGTTCGTGAACCAAGCTGTAGACTGAAGGATAATGAAGGGACGCGAAATGACGCCGGCGACGAGCTCACAGTGGAGCCGAAGTCGATGAGACCTAGGTTTCGATTTGGGGGATTTTTTTTTTTTTTTTTTGTGTATTGTCGTAAAAAGATAGTAAATTTTTTTTGGCTTTGGGCTAAACACTATAATACTTAAAAAAAAATTCTACCAAACAAAAAAATAACACTTCAAATTTTTGGATCTGAAGTTTCTAGCGCTTAGGTGAATTTTTCATCTAAGTACTGGCGGAATAAGTGATTTTCGCTTCTGATTTGGTGATTTTTTTTCTTAGCATTGTTTCAGTGCTATTATATAGTAATCAAAAAAAAAATTCATCTATCATAACAGTTACGAAAAATGAGCTATCGTCATATGCTATCAATGTAGATATTTCTTGTAGTGAAACGTACTTGAGGGAGTTATCATTGGTTTGGCGTTGTTTATACGTTGTTGCAATCCTATCAACCTGACAATTCAAATATACAAAATAGAGAAGAAACAATTCAGAAAAACAAAACCGAGAAGTCAATTTTTTTTTGAGAAATAGCAGATAAAGAATGATAGTAAAAGAGTTAGTTAGAGATCGATTGAACCACCTTTCATCCACTAAAACTAATTCTGTAGTATCTCTCTGAATTCTTTTTTGCTTTCAGATTCTAAGGCTTTTGAGACGGAATCGCCAGTCAAATCTTTGTTGATGTCACAAAGAACCATACAAATAGAAAATGAAAAAGAGGTAATTTTAGGATGCAAAGAATTGAAGGTGTTTGGAAAATTATTTTGATCGTGTTTAGAAGTGATGTTTTCTCTTGGAAATGAAATGGATATATATAGAGGACATATACGATTAGGTTTAGCTGTGATATATTTGCGTAAAATGTTTGTGAGCAAGCAAAATCTCTTTGAGTTAATTATAATTGCCTAGAATTAGAAAACTAAATGAATAATAATTAAGGTTTTTATGAAATTAGTTTCAAAAATCAATGAAATTAAGATATCTACGAAAATTAGTTTCAGCTGTAAATGGAAATATGCTTTTAAAAATCTTTAAAATCTAGCATCTATGTAGAATATGCTACATAGATGCTATAGAAAATAAGAGTAAAATCGTTTAGTTATGCAACATTTTCAATTGTTCTCGTTGCTATTGAATGTAGATGTTATATTGTTCAGTTTTATTAGGAAACAAAAGATATTTGCTGAATATATTTAGCATTTAAATTGGATGTGATAAACAAATCTGTTTTATTATCAGAATATGTATTATTGATTGCGACCCATAATAATACGAAATATATTGAATGTAGCAATTGTTAGCATAATAATAATGAGAAGCATATCTAACGAATCTGTTAGCATCTATATAGGAAATATATTGAATCCGGTAAATATATTTGTTATAACTAAATCTATATATAATAGCAATCTAATAAATACCATTTGCACATCTGAACGGTTGCGTCTTTTTCGTTTAAATAGGTTATTTTTATGGTTATTTTGGTTGCGTCTTTTTATCGTAATTTTCGTTTTAATCGGTTATTTTTTTACGGTTATGTCGTTTTCAATAAATACCATTTGCACATCTGAACGGTTACGTCTTTTTATTGCAACTTTTCGTTTAAATATTTATGGTTGTTTTTCTTACAGTTATTTTTGTACGGTCATGTTGTTTTATTGAATTTCTTTTTACGTAAACCAGTAAACTACATATAAAATTGGTTTTATTTCATAGTTTACATATGGATATATTTTGTAGTATAACTCCTTAATTATATCTTTCATTTAATATTTACGTGATATCATGGGAAAACAATAATATAGAGGTTTAAATAATTTGGACATACGTAATTGAAATGAGCCCCACACATTAAAGCTGTAACGGACACGTTTGTCTACGTAATGGACTTATCGAATAGTTGTAAAATCGTGCCTTTTCAATTCTATATATTGTCTTTCTTTTCGAAATTCCAATTTTTTGTCTTGCTACAACGATTATTTGTTCTACGATGAATTCAAAAGAAATTATATGTCAAATGGAATCAAATTCTATACTGTCTAAATTATTTCTAAACATACACTTTTTTAATATTGAAGAAAAACTTCTAATTCTTCATTTAACCAAAGATTTTTGGAATGATTTTGAAAATGAAAAAGTTTTAATCAATTTTAAATATAAAAATTTAATGAAGATGCCAACAATTTTTTTTCTCAGAATTGGGGGAATTATACAGTGAATTTTTTTATTTAACAATTACATATGATAACAATGATGCTTTCTACCTTAAGACAATATATATGGGTTGTATACAACAAAATATTGATGTTGCATTAACATTATTACAAAGTCCAAATACGAGAAGACATCCTCAAGCAATATGGCTATCTACTGTATTTTTCATATGTGTTGGTCGCTTTAAATGTGGAAGACATCAAATGAACCGTTTCAAATGGTATAATAATCCAGAAAAAATCTCCGCTATTAGGAAAAAAGCAATGATTCCAGTTCATCACATGAATATTAAAGGAAGAAATTGTTTTACTCAATTAATTCATCAATATAAATATAAATGCATTATAAGTTGATGGTTTGTTTGACAATCGAGCTTCAACTCACTCTAACCAAACACTTAGGTAGAGAAATTCACAATATGCGTATGTCGGTCGAGAAAATAAACAATAATAAGATTGCTATAACATCTAATTAACTACCGTCGCGTCTCTCAGTATAACTTTTTATAAATTAATATTTTTAATTTTTAATTACTAAAATGTATTTAAATAAGTTTGTAATCGTTTAATTGAACCGTTGAAATATTTGGTTTATTTGACCAATCATTGCAATTTTTGGTTTTGTTTTACAAACCGTTGTAATCTTTAGTTTATTTGACAAACTTGACGAACCGTTACAACTTTTGATATATCGCAACATTTTATTTATTTATTTTTAAACTAAAAATATACTTTATGTTATGTGTTTTGAGAAAGTTGCAATCTGAGTAAATATATTTTACGGTTGCATCTTTTTATCGTAACCTTTAATAAAATGGTTGCAACCGTTTAGTTGAACCATTACAACATTTATTTTATTTCACGAAAAATTGCAACTTTAAGTTTATTTTATAAATTGTTATAACATTAATCATTTACTATCGTTATTATTAATTTTGTTTGATTATTTTTAAAATGATTTTTGAAATATTTTCTCCCGCGACATCGCGGGGGTCCGGAGTCCTAGTATTCTTAGTAATAACTGTAGGAATATACTATATTATTTCATTAAGTTGTTTGGATTATTTTTTGGAAAGTTTCATTGGATCCAAAATTAGTTAATGCGGGTCATTAATCCGGGTCAAAATTCCGGGTCAAAACTAAAAAAAACCCGACCCGATTCGAAAGAGCAAATTTGTACTTCAAAAATGTTAAGTAGACTAGATGTTAACCCGCGGTACACCGCGGGCCTATATTTTTATTAAATAAATATTCAATGTTTTTTTAAGATGATCTATAGATATATGATGTTGTTTTGTTTGATTTAAATGTATAGTACATCGCGAAATGATATTTTATAACTAAAAATTTTAAGTTATATTTGTTTTGTTAATTTTATTTGATTGTAAATTCTAGGATTTCACCCGTACTATATTATCCCGTAATAATATCAATCCAAAACCGTCAATTTTAGGATTTCACCCGTAGTATAAAGTTTAAATATTTATAATGTTTAAACTTCTTATAAAAGAATCGAGATGCGTTTTTGAAAAAATATTAAATTTTAAGTTGTATTTGTTTTGTTTAGTATTTAAGATTAAAGACTCGGACTGGTTGACCAAGAACATTATAATGTTTAAAGACTTCAAAATAAAATTAGTATTACATAATTGTATTTGTTGTAAATATTTATAATGTTTATACTTCTTATAAATTCTTATAAAGTTCAAATATTTATAATATTTGAAACTTCATAAAAGATTTAATATCGACTCAAAATACATATTTGTATTTCAATAATTCTATCTAGGATTTCACCCGTAGTATACTATCCCGTATTAATATCGATCCAAACCCGTCCCACCATATAACTCCGTCCCGTGAAATTAAACATCATTTTGTTAATTTTCTTTTTATTAATATTTTTTTAAAAGTTCGTACCAAACTGCATCACATCACATATGTAAAAAACATTCCTCAGGAATGGTTATTTTGAATTTTTAATTAAAAGTTGTTGACAAAAAAAATATATATTTCTTTAAAAAGATATATAATTTGAGTTAGTTTAAAAGTTTGCTTTAAATGGTTTCTATATTATATATATTTTTAATTTTTATAAAGTTCAAATATTATTAATATTATAAACTTTTTATAAAATTTAAATATTATAACTACTTTAAACTATTTTTTGGTAAGGATATAGACCCTAGTATTGAAATAGGCCGATGCACATTTATTTTCTTTAGAACGTGAACGCCTAAAGTTGGTTCACAAATTCACAAATCACAAATTATATCGATCTAGTCAACAAAATCACGTAAACCACACAAGAAACCAATTTGGTCAACATCAGCAATTTCCTTTCTTCTCCAATAATTTTGACTCATCACAGAATCAATAAATAATTTGGTCTGTCTTTTTGTTTGTGTATATTTAAGATATTTACTATTGAATGGAAAAACCGTAAAGATGCTGCAATTAAATGAATCTTGAAGGGTATAAAGATTAACCTTCACGGTACAATGCTAGAAATAGGCCATCTGGTGAAATGACCACATGGCCATTTGGTAGAGCTTTTCCGTCCTGCAGCCAGTAAGAAAACATGATTCCATAAGTAGCAGAGGGATATCGATCATAAAATGATATCACTCTTACCTGCTTCAGATTATTTAAGAAACTTCTCGTTAGATATGCCTGAACGATGGCACGAGCGCTCAGAAACAGCAACTGATATCCATTCTCTTGAAAAATCCAAAGCAATGTACAGCATAAAGTTAGATCCATACTTATAGAGTACAAATTTAAGATATACAAATCACGTAAACCACCCAAGAAACCAGTAGATTTTTGTTTGTGTTTAGAGATTGGAGAAATGAGTGAGTATTTATAGTGTTTTGATAGTTAGTAGGGTTTTAGGTTAGAGAATATTCAAAATCTTGATGAGCAAGAATTCGATATCGTTGAAAATCTTTAAAGCGTCACAAAAAAATATGCTATGTATATGCTTGATCAAATAAGGATAAAATCGTTTAGTGATGTGACATTTCCAATTTGTCTATTTGAGACTGATATTCAATTAATATTGTTCAATTTTTATAGGAAACAAATGTTAAATACAATAAAATCTCTAGCATTAAAATAGGAAACTATTTGCTCTGTAAATATATATGATTTCTATATTTACTAAATCAATCGTTTAATTTCGATTTATATAATACTAATTTAGATTTGATTTTGATTTTATTGTTTTAGTAGTTTATATTTAGTAGATATGATTGATATTTTGATTATCAATAGCATTTAAAATTAAATATTTGATTTCTATATATTTTAAACTCAAATCGAGGTTACGAAAAATTAGGAATGTTTAGTGAGTTAATTTATTGTTTTGTAAAATTTACTTAATACAATATTTTTGTCAGATTATTTTTGTAGGGACTAAATGTACAAATACAAAATTGTAAAAGGATATTTTGAACCAAATCTTCTCCAAAAATGTATATATAGATATATATATATATATATTGTTAAAAAATAAATACATTTTTTCTTTAAAATATATATATATATATATATATATTGTTAAAATCTGGACATTTATTATGAGCATAAATATGAAAAACGATTTTCCATTAAAATCGGCTATTTATTAGGGTCATTAATATGAAAGATTATTTACCATTAAAATAGGTAACTTATTTGTAATTAAAGAAACATTAAACAGAATTGTTATAGCAATTATACTCAAAATATTCGTTTGTTTTTATTACATCATTCCTAAAATTCCTTATCCAAGATCCGGATAGAGTTAAACCCGGGTAAAACCCGGATCCAAAATACTTTTTGCAAAAATCCCCTGTAAAAATGTATATGTAGATTGTATAATAAGATTCAGGTTCATACCATGTAACATCTCATTCTTACAATTTTTGTTTTGTATTGTTTTATAACAGACGAGTGATCTACATTTGAGGGTAACATTGGTGAGTGTTTTCAAAACATACATTCGTCTATACTAAGCCTCGGAAATGAATCCCTCAGAAGGGCCATTGCAGGATCTGTCACTCAAGATCATGTTAGAGACAGAGATCATAAGTAGTAATTCTAAAGGCTGGTAAATGGATAACGAGAAGTCGAGTACAAAGGTTTTTTATTCATAAATCGAGAACATCGTTTATTAACTTAGTATAACAACAACACAAATAGTGAGTTTTGGATCGATGATTCATCGAAGAAAAACAAAAGAAATCCAGAAACAAAAAAGTCCAGAATGAATTTGGTTAAGTTGCTATTGCACACGTCTTCCTCATTGTCCAGAAGGCAGTATAGTACCGGTTCTGCAAAACACACAACATTACAAATTAATCCACCATTCGATCCGAAATCAACCACCCGAATATTGACATCGAGCATAGAGATTAAAGATTATCATATCCAGAGGGACATGAGAAATCTGACCTGCATCATAGCCCGGGGATTTGTAGTGTAAGTTGTTTCAATTGTTCTTTCTTTCTGCAAATGTTAGGACAAGTACTGAGTGTGGGAGGGTGTTTTATCATCTACAGGAAAATGCCATTTTTATTTTGTGTAGATTACCTCAATCACGAACCCATAATGTGAAGCAACCCTCTTTACATCCTCCAAACTTAGCTCGATCGACATTTCCTAAGGAGAAACAAGAGATATATTATTGTCATATCAAAGTTATGGCGAGATTGTGGGACAACTCCAATGCTTACATTTTCATGGCCATATGTGTCCGCAAAATGATACAACAGAGGTCCTAAATTTATCCAAACCTGATGGATAAATTAATTTAGATATGTCAGGAGCAAAGAAAAGATCAAAGGAGAAAGAAAAAAGACCAACGGTGAAGGAAAGAGTGACAGGGAAATTACTCCTCCATCTTTTAGGATCTTGGATATGGTTTCAATGTACTCGATGACATTATGAGCCGTGTCGATGAAAAAGCAAGTCACAACTGCATCCCACATTCCTGAAATTCAGTGTTAACGGTTACAATTAGACAAATGAATGGTGTATTGGCTTAAAACAAAAGCAAGTAGCCACCATTTCTTACCTGCATGACTTGATTCATTGTATACTTCAACAAAATCACCACCACACATAGAGAAACCTTCTGTTATTCCTGCACTGCTCACAAAATGTTTACATAAACCTTTTTAGTAAAGTGACGTAAATGATTGTAGCTACATGAAATCACCAATACAAGTTGCTTAACCCCTTTCGATTGAGTTCCCTTATGGATTACAAGGAAAACAGATATGTCTTTATATATAAAGCTACCAACACATTCCAAAAACCATAGGCCCAGTTCTCCAGTGGTTCGGTAAGGCATACCTTGCAGGATGAATATCTGGAATAGCAATAGGGCGTAGTTGATCATTGTCCGAGAGCGAATTGCAGTTGCTGTGTATCCAGGGGTATATTGTCCACTCACCAGGGACTTGTGAACTGACGAAAACAAAAACAAGCTGAGCAAAACTCAAAACTGGACCAAAAGTAAGAAGCTACCTCAACTACATTTAGAGATACATCACAGAAGAAAATAAATAGCGGACTCTCCAAAAGCAATTTGGAAAAAAAGTTTGAAATTTAGAGATTGACTGATGTGAAAATAATAGATGTGAATTACTGAACTGTGGACAAAATACAAATTGATTTCTATTTTCTGAAACAACATGGATGACCTAGAAAAGGGGGACAGAGAGGCTCTTTGAGACAGACAAGCAAAATAAAAGGAATATAATAAGATAATTTATTCAAGAAAGGAACTCTTACTAATTCAGAATAAAACTTGAGCATATCATCATATAGTATGAAAATTCATTTCCTTGGCTTATGAATCCTGCTCCAGTATACAGAATTGTTATATCGTTAGTATCATCAAGTATACAAAAAAAGTACTTCCACATTGCATACCTAGACAAGAAATTTCAAGGGCCAGACGTCCAAGTCCAGCACCGGGGACTAAACAGGCAGGAGGGGTGCTGCAAGTCATATAGTTAACTTTGTAAGAAGAGAGAGTGCAGCAGGTACCTAAAAAAGCTCAATCAAATACTAGTCGTCTGATACTAGGAAGAAGCTAAAACCATTATCCGATTTTCTGTCTCTCTCTCTACTCAAGTCTCTATAACGGGACTTCGTGGATCAAAAAACAAGCCACCAGATTTGAATATTGAATAGTTAAGAAAAAACTACTTTTTCCACAAACTCATAATGCATTGATGAGAGGTCAGAGACCCAAAAGTCAAAAACAAATAGGAGCAACACGGTGTACCTCTCCTTGGAACGATCAGGAAACAAGGAATCAAGCTCTTCAAGGATAGGCTTGTAGCATTGATCTCGTTCTCTCTGACCCTGAAAGTAAAAAGAATATACCACTAAAAACTTAAGTTGTGATATAAGGTTAAAGAAACAGTCTGCGTACATCATTGTCAGAAGAAAATGACAAACAAAAATATGGCTACCTCTGCTGCCCAGTCTCGAACTATATTCCTTATAATACAACGAACCTGTGTTAGAATACAACAAAATCATGAACATTTTAAAGTATAGATTGGTGAGAAATACACACAACATCACAACAAACATATGCAATTGTACTGGTGTGCGTGTCACCTCTATCATGTGCATATGCATACAGGTAAGAAGGTGCACTTAAGCTCAACAGAATTCACCTCCCCATGCAAAGCTATATGAGGAAACCAACCCCCATAACTTACCAACTGCCTAATGGAACTAATAGAGATTGAGGATAGATTCTACTAGGACGCCTTATGATCTTTGTCTCACACTGTAAGAGCTCTTATACAAATATGCTGACCTAGGACTGAGGAAAATGAATATCACCAGCCATAGTTAATGTGAAAAAGCATACCTTATCTACATCAACCAGAGGAACATGTGTCTGTAACGATGAATCCAACCAATCATGGGATGAAAATGATACCTAAGAAAGAAAAAAGGAACATTATAATTAGAAAAATCACATGAATTATGACAATTTTATAGTCGTAAATGAAGTATGATGCAAAAATATACACAACAAAGCCTATGCTTGACAGTAAAACGCTTTCTGAATATAGACTACCAGGTAAAATTCATATGATCTAGAATACCAAGAAATATTCATATGATCCCACCAAAGATCTTATATAACTGATACAATAACTAAAGAATCTGTGCAAAGCTAACATAGTCAACACATTTTCTGGACGGAACTGAGGTATAAGAGTATATGAGTCGGCATTACACTGCCATGGTCATGATTTAACTGGCCTCCATCACATTCACATGTCTTATTAGTAATTCTTGCGTCTGCAGAGTCATCCTTGGATGAATGATCATGAGCTTCCTTCCTTTGAAGCTCCTGCATTTATACAAATAAATTAAAGATTCTAAATGACAAGGATAAAGTTCCAATGTCTTGATCTGACCTCGATAGACACTCCTGTTATTGGCTCACGAATGTGTTTGCTTTCTTCCTTATATGTACAACTATTGGTCAAGGCCGGCTGACAAGAAGAGTCGTGCCTTTCATCTAGAGTGTATCTCTCATGTGGAGCACACTCAAGATTTGAGTCTTCACAACCATCAAGTTCCTGACTCAAGTCTATAGGGGGCTCAAAAGCCTGCCAAGTAATTATGAATTAGATTTTTACATGACATGAACTGTAGATTTTCTAGCATATCAAGCATTTCAAGTTACAAGTTAAGAATCACATAATCAAATAAGTTGAAGCAAATGAAACAGTAAAGGAATTAGAAAAAGAAATGTCTGCAACTGACCTGAAGCATATTAAATATGAAATATGAATTCGCCGATATACACCTGCAACAACTTACTAACACTTCAGAAAAGACTATGTGCAAGATGTCTGGGACAAGCACAGACAGGATATAAATAAGTCAAGTTCAATCTGGCATACTATCGAGTTTAGTATTCAAGCATGAGAAAGAAGAATTATAAGAAGCATGGATATCATAATAATGGCACATGAACAAAATAAATCTAACAAGATTTAGGCAATCAAATACTTAACTACTCCATTTGTAAATAGTAGCAATCAGCAGTTATTACTTTCAGAAAGTAGTAGATATATATGTTGACAACTCGCACGTTAATTCTAAAATATGTTATCATACTTTATACATGCAACCCAGTTATGAAAATCACCTCTGAGGACGCAGATATTTAATAGGATGAAAATGCAATACTGCCAACACCAGAGATCTACTAGTTACACGTTTTAGATTGTCCCTAACCTCAATTTCTCCAAGGCATATCATTATTGTTAAAAAAAGTTAACTAAACGTTTAGCAGCATCAGGAATCTTCCATAATCCAAAGTGAGAACGAATAAGCAAATATGCAAACCTTGAAGCAACTATAATGGAAAAATAAAAAATCTGAATATCATCATTCAAGTAACTCTGACATTTATCTAGACTAGAAGATAATAGTGAAATATTATACTGATTATAGATTTCACCTTCTTAATCTCTGAAACTTGATAGGGTAATGGGATACCAATGCCTGAACAAGGAAAACAAAGTCAAAACTGAAACTATTAGTTCTATTATAACCATAAGCAAACAAAGAAGATTAGACAAAAGAAACAACTTGACGCGAAATCGTTTGGTGATCTCTTAACTGCTATGCATCCTAAGCATTTCGAAATTCTAAAATATGCTACAGGATTAAACCATCAACATAATACCGGTTAGTAATAAACTGTAGAAATGAATAACTTCTGAAACAGCAAGAAGAAGTTCAATTTTTCTCTAGACACAACTATGGAAAACCACGTCTAAATACATTTTCAGTGGAATATTGCTACTATTGTCTCTAATAATCGTACCACATTTCTCAAAATCAGGTGAACAAAATTTACCTTGTGTGAAGGAGACAGTTTCCGATATGATCTTTCCCATCTTTTCAAATCCTCTTCCGAAGCCTCCGGATAACTGTAACAAATTTCCAAGCATGAGGAAAGGTCTTAACTATGCAGAACCCCAAAAGAAACAGATAAAGTAAAATCAAGAAACTAGAATTGACGAGAAAGTGAGATACTTGAGGTAAGCACTGATAATGCGGCGAAGAGATTTGGCTTCGAGAGCTTCTTCCAGCTTCTTCTGACGCCGTATTTTCTCCTCCTCCTCCTCTTTATTATCCACTTCCCTCGAACTCTCTATCCGCTCGCTTTCCGTTGTCATGGTTGTCGACGCCGGTGGCGTCACCGTCTCCGTCATCTCTGACGGTGAAACCATGGTGGCTCTTCGGTTTCGAGTTGATTTCATCGGAAAGGTTATTATAATTAATTATACGAGGAAACGAGTTTTTTCTTTTGGGCCTCATGTTCTTTAATGGGCCTTAATTAGCCTATTTGCGTGGTAGTGTGCCGAGGAATAATAAAATTTTAGGTGAGTTTTGGTCTTAACATCAACCGAAATACACAGTTTAGTCTTAACATCAACCGAAAACACAGTTTAATTGTTTTGCAACAAGAAAAGAAATAGTGCATATAGTAAGGAATATTTGGTTTAAGTTGTTGTAACACATTTCTTCCTCATTGTCCAGAAGACAGGATAGTATCGATTCTGCAAAACACACACACAACATCACAAATTAACCCACCTTTCGATCCAAAAATCAACCACAAATCCAAAGACATAAAAAAATCTGACCTTCATCATAGACCGGGGATTTGTAGAGTATGTTGTTTCAATTGTTTTTTCTTTCGGCAAATATTGTGTAAGGACAACCACTCATGATGAATGAGGAAGAACATGCATGCCCTCATGAGATGTTTTATTTTTTTACAAGAAAATTTCATTGTAATAATGTTGTAGATTTACCTCCATCTCAAACCCATAATGTGAAGCAACCCTCTTTACATCCTCCAAACTTAGCTCAATCGACATTTCCTAAGGAGAAACAAGAAATATATATATTCAAAGTTATCTATCTAGCTAGCGAGAGATTGTGTGACAGGTCCAATGCTTACATTTTCCAGGCCATGTTCGTCTGCGAAGTGATAAATTAATCCAAACCTGATGATGGATAAATTAATTTAGATAGGCGAGCGATGAAAGATCAAAGACGTTGGAAAAGGAGGGTACGTAACAGGGAAATGACGTACTCCTCCATCCTTTAAGATCTTGGATATGGTTTCGATGATGTTATGAGCCGTATCGATGAAAAAGCAAGTCACAACTGCATCCCACATTCCTGAAACTCAGTGTTGCCATTCAAACTAATGAGTGGTGTATTTGGTATAAAACATACTCATATTGGCTTCTTAAACAAAAGCAACTAGTCACCATTTCTTACATGCTTGACTTGATTCATTGAATACTTCAACAAAATCACCACCACACATAGAGAAACCTTCTGTTACTCCTGCACTGCTCACAGAAAATAACCTTTTTAGTAAATTGAAATAAATAAATGATGTTATACATAAAAACAATTAATTATCCCTAAAACTAACAAAACATTCCAAACCATAAGAAAAGTACTCTCTCTCTCTCTGGTTCGATAAGGCATACCTTGCAGGATGAATATCAGGAATAGAAATAGGGCGTAGTTGATCATCATTCGAGAGGGAATTGCAGTTAGTGTGTATCCAGGGGTATATTGTCCACTCATCAGGCGATTGTGTACTGATGAAAAAACAACAAGTAGAGCAAAACTCAAAACTGGAACAGAGTGAAGAAATCAACTCAATCAAATTTAGAGACTATCTCCAAAAGCAACTTAGGAACACACTTGTAAATTTTGAGGGTGGATGATGTTAAAGAGAACAGTAAGAAACTCTTACTAATTAAGAATAAAACTTGAGCATAACATCATGTAGTATGAAAATTCATTGCCTTGGCTTCTGAAACCTATTCCAATGTACAAGAGTTGTTATATTGATTCCTCATTATCATCAAAGCTACCAAAAAAAAAAAGAAAAAAAGGTTTTCTTCTCCATTGCATGCCTAGACAAGAAATTTCAAGGGCCAGCCGACCAAGTCCAGCACCAGGGACTAAACAGGTAGGACGAGTGCTGCAAATCATATAGTTAACTTTAATTTGCAAGCAGAGTTTATGGATCAGACTTCAGAATGCATTGATGAGAGGTCAGAGACTCAAAAGTCAGGAAGTGTACCTCTCCTTGTGACGATCAGGGAACAAGGAATCAATCTCTTCAAGGATAGGCTTGTAGCATTCATCTCTTTCTCTCTGACCCTGTAAGTAAAATGAGTATACCAATAAAGTTGTGGTAAAAGAAAGAATCTCATCTTTGTCATGACAAACAAAAATATGATTACCTCTGCTCCCCAGTCTCGAACTATATTCCTTATTACCCAACGAACCTGTACGTGTTAGTATACAACAAAAATTCTAAGTAATAGAATGGTGAGAAATACACCCAACATCGCAACAAATATATATACAATTGTCACCTCTATCTTGTTCATGTACATTTGGAGAATTGAGAATAGATATAGATTCTTACTATCTTTGTTTCACACTACTATAGCTCTAATATAATTATGAGCATGAAGAAAATTTATATCATCCACCATATTATAAGTGAAAAAAGCATACCTTATTTACATCAACCTGAGGAACATGCGTCTGTAACGATGAATCCAACCAATCCTGAGATGAAAATGGTACCTATATGAGTTAGTATATGAGTTGAGATATATATATAAAAGTATATGAGTTGGCATGATTACACTGCCATGGTCATGATTTATCTGGCCTCCAACAAATTCACATGTCTTATTATTGATTCTTATCTCTGTATTCGTGAGGGAATGATCATGATGATGAGTTTCATCCCTTTGAAACCCCTGCATTTATAAATATAAATTAAAGGTTTCAAAATGAAAAGGATAAATTTCCAAGTCTTGATCTGACCTCGATAGACAGTGCTCCTGTTATTGGCTCGCGCATGTGCTTACTCAAGTCTATAGGGGGCTCAAAAACCTGCCAAATAATTATGAATTAGCATGAAGCAATTGAAACGCAAATGGAATTAGAAGAAGATATGTCTGGAACTGACCTGAAGCATATTATATATGAAATGTGATTTCATCGATATACACCTGCAACAACAATTTAAAGTCCAAAAACTTACTAATATTTCAAACAAGACCATGCTTAGGATGAAAATGCAATAATGTCAACACCAGAAAGTTGCTTGTTACACGTTTAGACTGCCCCTAACCTCAATTTCTCTAGGGCATACGGTATATATATGTATAATTGTTGACATTATTGTGACAATATATATATATATATATATATATGTATAATTTTTAACAACAAAAGTTAATGAAAACGTTTAGAAGCATCAGGAATCTTTTATTATCCAAAGTACAAATGAAGAAGTAATTAATCATATATGAAAAGCAACTATAATGGAAAAATATAAAATATGAATATTAACCTGTGACACTTATGTAAGACTACAAGATGATTTATAGTGACTAGTGAAATGTCTACTGATTATAGATTTCACCTTCTTAATCTCTGCAACTTCGTAGGGAAATGGGTTACCAATGCCTGGACAAGGAGATAGTTAGACCATTTTCATTGGGAGTGTCTAGGTGAGATACTCTCCAATAAAACAGAATAAAAAATTTAAAAAAGAAGGAGAGAAGACAGAAACGTTTCACAAATGAGAAACTCTGAGATACCCATTTTTACCGTTGTCTTTTTCTGATTGGTTTAAATAAACAATTAAATAATAAATAATTAAATAAAAAAAATTAATAATATTTTATTTGTCAGACATTCAACGGAGTTTCTGACCGATGGAGATGCTCTTAAAATTCTATCTATTATAAAAAAGAAGATTCCACAAAAAAATCAACTTGATCTTGAATCATTTGGGTGATCTCTTAACGGCTATGCACGAGACGAAACTCTTATATTATTGAATATTCTAAAATATGCTACAGCAATATAATAAACCATTAAAATAATATCGACAATACAACAAATAACAAAATTACCTTGTGCGCAGGGGACAGCTTCTGATATGATCTTTCGCATTTTTTCAGATTTTCTTCCGCAGCCTTGGGATAACTGTAAAAATTTCCAAGCAGAAGGAAGGTCAACGATGCAGTAGTCTTTACGTAGAACTCTTTAACCTAAACGTGAAGAAATATCCCACATCAAAATTATGAAAAGGGGGACTTGAATCGTATATAAGGGACAAGGGTCAATTCACTCAATGCCAAACGGTTTTGAATTGGAAGAAAAACAAACTCAACTAATGGTTCATCCTACAAAGATACACAATCCAACCAAGTAACATGGTTAAGGAGCTTAAGAAGACTGAAGTCTAAGATTTGACTTGGTCATCAGTTAGACAAGTCTCCTTGAATGATTGAATCCACCAAGATAGTGCCATTTATGAGTTGAAAGAAAAAAGAGAAACAAAGGAACATACTTGAGATAAGCACTGATGATTCCGGGAAGACATTTGGCTTCGAGAACTTCTTCTTCAGACTTCTTCTGACGGCGTATTTTCTCCTCTTCTTCCTCATCTACTTCACTCGAATTCTCTATCCGTTCAGTTTCCGTTTTCGTGGTTGTAACAAATTCTGGTGCCGTCTCCGTCGCCATCATCTCTGACAATGAAATCATTATGGCTCTTTGGTTATACGAAGAAACGAGACTTTTCTGTTATTATATGTTGACTTGACGTAAGATTATTTCTGCAAGGTACGTTTTATTATTTCTCCTAGTATGAAAATGGGCTAAGTTAGGCCTACTGAGGAACATGAGGCCCAATTTTGAAAATATCGTTTCTTCGTAAAACTAAAACTGAAGAACCAGTGATCCACCTTAATTTTTTTATTCATCGTTAGAGATGACGGAGACGGCACCGGCAATTGTTTTAGCTATGCCAGTTCTGACTACTGTTATTAAGGTTCAACACTCAATTATGTTTATAAATTTCTCTTTAGTGTTCTCATGTTTGAAATTTATTTAGAACTTTTTTCCACTTAAAATTCCTTAATTACATTAAATTAGTACACTTCAAATTATAACTGTATGACAAAAAAAAAAGAAAAAAAGGAAGTGAACGTATTAAACATGTGTCAAAAAGTGAGCAGTAGGCATTTGTCAATTTTTTTTTTTTTTGTCATCCCAAATTAATTAGAACTCAAAAGAGCTATTCATGAAAGCATTTGTCAATCATGTATATATATATATATATATATACAAAGTTTCACATAATAATTTTCATTTGTTATGTGTATTTGTGTTGCATATCTTTGATATACCATGATTAAATCATAAAAAAAAATTATCATCTGTTTTATTGGATACCTGCGGAAACAGAATTTTCCGAATTTTTATCATATGCTTAGTTAATAAAATGTTGTTTGTGACCCAAAAAAAATATCATTCGTTTTAAAAATGACAAAGCTGTAATGCCAGACATCTAAAAAAAAAAACTATATTTGGACTATATAGCTTTCAGAAATACCATAGATATAAAAATGTTAATTACTTATCTAATAGAAATAATATGTTTTGTTTTTTTTTTAATTTTAATTGTGACATTTGATGAAATCCCAATCAAACTTTAAAATTTCGGTTACACATTGGAATCATAGTCATCATTCATAATAATATTTGATTGCGTATTCACATTTGGTGTCCACATTGGATGAATATTCTCCACCACCACTATTATTATATTCACATGCATTATCAACATTTTAACGCCACCTGTACAATCCCAACCACTAGACGTTAAAAAGATCCAACGGCCACGATTCGCCCACTTGATCACGTCACGCACCGACGGCTGTGATTGAAGCCATACCCTCCAGCTCACTCTTGCTCCGTCTGATCCTCTCACCGCCAACGTCAAACCCGCCCGTAGCCGTTGCCGTCTTCCAAATCTCCGGTACCGCCGTAGCTATCTCAGTTACTGTCTCCACTGCGTAATCCGCATCTTTCGTCTTTTCTGCTCTTCCCACCTTTTTTAATCAAATTTTTAAAATTGAATGTAATTCACGCACACAAATGTCGTAACAACAACAACAAAAGAATTAATACTAGATGTGAATGGAATAAAATAATTACCAGTATCGTGCGAAGCCCGACAGATTTACCCGCGGTAATATTGTGGATATTGTCATCCAAAAATATCTATTATTGAAAAATACAAAAATAGTTTGAATATTGTAATAATGATAATGTGTAGAGCTAGAGATTTATCAAAAGTTTAATATGAAAAATAATTAAAATGTTAACATAAATAAGAATATTACTGTTCGGCGAGGATCAACGTTGGCTACACGAATGCAAATATCCATTGCGGTCAACGACGGCTTGAGAACAACCGGGTGTTCATCGGGTCGGGTTGTTGACCCGAATAAATTCGGGTTCATTGTCTCAAAACAAATCATCTCTTCGAAACAATCTTCTAAACCCAATTTCTTGAGAACCTTCACCGCATGATTCCTGTCCGAATTCGTAAATATCTAGACCCAAGAAAGAAAAAAATGAACATTTATTCATTTCGGCAATCTGACCCAAGAAAATTTCATGCCACATAAATAAATAAATGATTAAACTTACAATTTTTCTCTGTTTGATTTTGTTGAGAAGGTTACGTAGCTTATTGTTTGGTTCGATCGAGCCATACGGTAATCTTCCGTGCACGAAACTACAAAACAAATTATGCAAGAAAAATAAAAAAGCTTAAGAAAAAAAATTGTTTCCCTGAGATCAAAAAATATTTATATAGTTGTTGAAGATGATTATTACCTGTGATATTCATCAGGATGAACATCATGACCTAACGCCTAAAATTTATAAGAAACAAAGAGAAAAATAAATTAGAAATCAATGATATATATAAGAACTAAAAAATCTTTAGAAAATGGAGAAGTGAAATTAATTACCCTGAGACCAACAAGAGTACTTCCATAAGTCTTGAAGAGTTCAACTCTTAAACTTGAAGCTTTACTTTCCGAGAATCCATATTTCTCCACTAGAAAATCTGCCCAGATAATTAATTCATATTATTAACCTAAAATGTTTTAAGAAAAATAGAAGAAAGTATTGTAATTGTGTTTTGTTTAGTTACCGTCGATATTCTTCTTGACAGCTGGCGCTATGCCAGTTTTCAGAGGGTATAATGTGTCATCCAAATCTGATCACAATCAGAGAGCACAAACCAAAAAACAATTAGAACTACTTTAGTAAATACATTTTACAAATTTCAGTTTCACGTATTATAAATGATATACCGAAAATGAGGCAGTTGATCGGAGAGGAGAAATCCATTACAAGAGAACAAGTAAGAAAATTAATTTGTTTAGAATATTTGAGAAATTGGAGGAATTAGCAACACAACAATAGGAGTCGTGAAGAAAGGGTGATGTTTAAGGGTATTTATAGGAAGCCGAGTCATTTTTAATTTGTTTTTCTCTATTTTTTAATAATGGATACTGACTGCTGACTCATGGTTCAAATCCCTTTCGTCTATTTTATCTGCTTATACATTTTCTTTGAAAATCCATTACATTTTTTTTTTTATATACCCTATCGGCTTTACGTTATAATATGATTTGATGTTAATCGGATCATACTCTATCCTCATTTGTGTTGCAACGATCGCTTTATATATACCTTGATTAATTAAACAATGTAAAACCATTTTATTAATTTGTAAGAGTTGCAAACCCTTACGTGTTAAGTCTTTATAAATGTTCTAATTAACTTGTATCAAAACGATATGATATTTTACTTATTTGGGTTACTTATTAGATGTCTTCAGCGTGCATGGAACTTCATCCATGGTTGATAGTAAATGTTACTATAACATTTCAATGTTTTAACTTACTACAATTTATTGTTACAGTGTCATCACAATAAAAGTTATAGAACAATTAGGCAACGCGTGGTCAATCCCGTCTCAATGTATTATAGGGCCTTTGGTAAAACAAAAAATCTCTAAATAATTTTTTCTTTTTAAAATTAACTATGGATCCATGACATTTACCTATTTTACCTACCTGTAGAGACGGCCTGCGCGTCGCTACACTTTGGCTCCGAATGGAGAAAGCGTATCGAGCGGAGCGGATCAAGCGGATCAAACGTATCAAGCAGAACAAAAGCGGATCAAGCAGATCTGGCGGTACAAGTGCGGATCAAGCGGTTCGAACGCTATATGTTGAATGGTGAAAGCGGATCAGTTAATACCCGTGTTCAAAAAATCGCTAGGCGCTAGTCGGGCGGTGAGGGTGCGCCTAGCGCCTAGCAAGAAAATCGGGGATTACACGGGGATTAATCGGGGATTAGTTTTAGGGCTATTTAATATTTTAGAAACATATTAATCCATTATAATTAAGAAATTTATATAATATTGTTTTTAAAATTGTATTAAACACATGAAAACAAGATTTTAATTTCAAATTTATGATTTTTATACAAATTACGAACATAAGTAGGACGTTTTGAATTTTAGATGAAAAACAAAAAGTAAAAACAAAAAAAAAAAAAAAAAAATTGGGCTAGGCGCCGGCTAGGCGGCCGCCTAGGCGGTCCAGGCGGACAAAAAATCGGAGATCCGATTTTTCTCACCGATTTGGACAAAATCGCCGCGGTGCTCCTCCGATCAGCGCCTAGGCGGCCACCTAGGCGGCTAGGCGGCCGATTTTTAGAACCAGGGTTAATACAAATAAAATATTTATATTGTAAAGAACGTTAATTTTACATTATATGGATCAAATTTTATATAGTAAAAATATCAATTTAAAATAAATAAATTATAGAATACTATACATATTAAATTATATTATATAAAATGAAAGAAATTAAAATTTGCTATATTGATTTATGATTTTTTGAACATATATTTTTAGTATTTTAGATACAATATAATAACATAAATACTAATAAGTACAAAAAGTGTATATTATTTAATTACAATGATTTGTCATTTTATACAATATAATAACATAAAATGTTAATAAATACAACATATAAATATGAATAATTACATAATATGTTGTTTTTAATTTTCTAAAAATAATAATATTAATAATGATCTCAAATAGATTTTTTGAATTAATTAAATTACTTCAAACATGTGTTGTAGTAAATATAGGTACAATAAGACATAAAAGTGATAAAACATATTTAAAAAATAATAATCACAAAAAAAAATTGAGAAGTGGAGCAAAACACACAGCAAATAGAGCGTGCCTACTGTGCAAGGTGGATCAACATTTCTCTTCACAAATCTCACACGCTTTCACTGTAATTCTATTAAATATTAATTTTTTTGAGAAAATCCACTTGCTTCACATATAAACGTGAATGATAACAAAGTTTACAGTACATCTGCTCCGTCCAAGAACCGTCTTTGAACTATCCTTCCATTCAGACCCAAATTGTAGTCTTAAACATGGATGAAGTTGCAAATGAAATGTCAATCATTATGTTATTTTTTTAGCTTTTAGATGTTTTCTTAACAACATCGCCTTTATGTGAAATTCAAATATGATGTCACGACTCACTAGTCTAATTAAGAAATTTGTGCACACAAAACGCGTGTTTTTCAGACAAAATATCAATTCCTAGTAGGCTAGTACGCGTTGACAGAATATAAATTCGATTAGTTGTACGTGTTGCACATGCTACACCAGATGATTGGAGATTAGCAAAAATATTATGTACTATTGATAAGCATTACAAATAATACCTGAAGGCCACAAACAAAAAAAAAAGCCATGAATCTACCTAAAAAGCAGAAATTACGGATAGTGAATTTTCACACATAAGAACTATTGCTGGTGATCATCTTTTGATTTTAGTACTTACCAAAAAAAAAATGTTTTAATTTTAGTAATAAAATATTCTCCTGCTTATTAATTGATAGTGGTTGAGTTGTCTGTGGACCTCTCCCAAACATCCCCACAACCCATCCTGAGATGATGTCACCTATGTGTTGCGTTATTGGTTTGGACATCTTCTACAACTTCGTCTTCTATCGGAAAGGTTCCAATATTATACTATTATTATTTCCTGTTTTCATTAGTTCATTTAGTAATTTCAATTATCATATAATTATTTGAATAACCATTTGATCCAGAGAAGAATGACACTAAGGGGGTGTTATTGGGTTTATTAATTTGTAAATTCATATAGAATTTAAAAATCTTTATTAATTATGAAATCAAGATATATGGATTTTGAAATAACATGTGTTTACCCATGGATTTGAATCCTTCTATTTTTCTCTTTCAATTCCATTCAAATCCATTTAAAACATAATTTGGATTCTCAAATCCAAAAACAAATGAGTAAACGAATAACAAAGGATTTTAACTAGTATTTATAATCATAGAACCAATAACACATGATTTTAATTAGGATTTTAAAATCAATGATTGAATAACAAATGATTTTTGTTTGGATTTCTATTCCTTATAAATCCATGAACCAATAACCCCTCATAATATTTTGTTTTTTTTGGTAAGCATGACACTGGTGTTATTGGTTTATTTATTTGTAAATTCATATATGATTTGAAATTTTTTTTAATTATGAAATCAAGATATATGGATTTTGAAATAACATGTGTTTATCCATGGATTTGAATTCTTCTATTTTTCTCTTTCAATTCCATTCAAATCCATTTAAAACATAATTTGGATTCCATTCAAATCTATTTAAAACATAATTTGGATTCTCAGATCCAAAAACAAATGACTAAACAAATAACATAAGATTTTAGGATTTTAAGTAGTATTCATAAATCATGGAACCAATAACACATGATTTTAATTAGGATTTTAAAATCAGTGATTGAATAACAAATAATTTTTTTTTGGATTTCTAATTCCTTATAAATCTATGAACCAATAACCCCTCCTTAATACTCCCTCCGTTCTTTTATAAGTGATATTTTAAGCTTCTAATTTTGTTTTTAAATAGATGATATTTTCAAATTTTAATGCAAAATTCATTACGTTTTTATTAGTTTTGACGATTTATATTTTGTAGATTGATTTTTTATTAGTTGATTAGATAATAAATGATGTTTTAGTTTAGAAATAAACAAAAATTAAATGATTTTTTAATCTATGTGCATTCTTGTAAAACATCACTTACAAAGGAACGGAGGGAGTATTTATATCCAAATCATGACATTTGCTAATTTCATTGAAAATTTAGAGAATAATTTATTTAAAAAAAAAAAAATATGTATGATCTAGATTTGGGCCAATACTTTTCTACAGGCTGTTTGTTATAGTTAGTCCATATACAAGGTTACTTCAAATCGGCCCAAATTTGGAAAAATAGTAAATTAGATTATTTTTGTGGGTCGGCAAATTAATTTAGCGAGGAAAAAAAAAAAGACTCCCTCCTCTTTTCTCTAGCAACTCTGAGAAGACGAAGGAAGCACAGTACAAGTGGTCCGCAGCGTAGACTCGAGTAAAAGTTGTTGGCGACCCTTATTTCTCTTTTT